AAAAATCTGAATTAAAGATTTGCATTTTATTTGTGCATTACTAAACCTGGCAGTATAATCATCAAAGTGACCACGGTCACGTAGTGTAGTCCATAATTCGCCACCAAGGCATACTTCCAATAGCATGTAGACATACTTTGTATCGCGGAACGTCTTGAACAATCTAAAATCCAAGTAAATACTTGAAAAAATATCCATGTACTCACTTGACAATCCAATCTGTATTGGTTTCAAGCATGATGTTTCTCTCGGCAAAAATATGTTCCTGTTGGCGCGTATCCACAATGTGTTTCTTCTTGAGAGCCTTTAGAGCAAACGTTCTTGCTTTATCCCCGTTGATACACACTAATTCCACTCGGCCAAAGCCCTAAAAAGAAAATTTACTTACAAAACATGAAAAAACTAACCCCAACACCAAGAGTCGCAATTCTTTTCAAAGATTTCAAATTCACGTTCGAGAATTCTTCCACAATTTGAGCCTAAAATGGTACTATTTAAGTATTCATTAAACTTTCTTTACTCTTTCGGTAGACGTCTTGGTTGGACTTGGGGGTTCATGAGGAGCGACTCTAGCAAGTCGTTCTTGCCTGTAATTGGTGAATTTATTGATTAGTAAGTGACAGAAAATAAACACCCATATCAACTATAAAAACCCCATGAAATTATTACTGTACCTTGCACTGTCACCATAATCTTTTTTCACCGCATCAATATCGCCGATGAGTTTCAGGAATGACTCCCTGAAATTTATTATTAAAGGTTGAGCGACAACATTCTTTACCTATCCAATGTTAGTACTTCAACTCCTGGTGACATTGCAATAACGTTAGCAGTTCGAACTTCTTCACCCAACAACGCACGTTCGCCGAAGAAATCTCCCTGAATCCAACTACATGAGTTTAATAAATAAAAATGGTACCTGATTCAAGGTTCGGATTTGGCGCGGCTCTGCTTCACCTTCGATGTGTTGTGTGACTTTGACTTGACCACTGTTGATGATGAAAAAGGCATCTCCCTTTTCGCCCTAAAATATTTAACTTTATTTGCCACTGCTATTAATTACGTGATCTCGTTCTCCAACCAACCTGTCTGATAATATGATGGCCTCCTGCATAATAATCTTGGTCCAAAACATCGGCGATTTTTGAAATGCGATCTTCCGAGAGGTTTTCAAAGATTGTGACCTAAAGTATCAAGTGTAATACATACGCACTCTAAACTTTAAACCTTCAACAAGAAATTCATCAGTTGCGTGTGTCTTTCCATTCCCAATCGCATAGTGATCATTTGGAAAACGGATCGATCCAAAACCCAGAGCACGACATCAGTGATTGCTTGGACGGAAGCAGTTCTAAATTTGCGATTTAAGCAAAAACAAGGATTAGATTACCTTGTGCAATTGTAAAGAATAGCAAGCTCTCCCATCACCGTTCCTGGATTCATTGTTCCCAAAATTTGACCCTCACGCGAAACTTGCAATTGACCCTCTAAAAGCATTTTAATTCAAAAGAAAAACAAGTGATTATCAACCTGCTACAACAAAAAAGTCGATCTCCCGGTTCTCCTTCTTGAATCACCCATTGCTGAATATCGATGAAGCTCAAAAGAAAAAGAAAAGTGTACCTGGCTTCTGCATCGCATTTCATACATACACTCGACAAGTTCAATGATTTGTTCCTTTGCCAGCTGCTTGAGGAAATCGTTCTTGTGCACGGCATCACGGATCAATTGTTTGGAGCTAAATAATAAAGTATTAAACTTTTCACTATTTTGTACAAACCCTGCTGTTTTGCTGTGATGTTGAAGAGTGGCCTTGTGCTGATCAAGTTTTGTCGGCTCGGCGGACACGGCCATCTTCTTGGCGCGTTCACGCACATCTTCTCGAGGTGTTGCGCTTTCCTAGAGAATATCAATAAATTTAATCAAATTTAAGAGTTACTTACAGTGCCGGGTAAATCACTGTCCTTTGGTGATTGAGCAACAGTTGGCGCAGGGCTAGCGGCGGAAGTTGCTTTCTGTTCCAATACCGATCGCAATTTGTCGCATTCTCTCTAAAAATTGAATACTTTTTAGTAAAATATATAGCCTCGTTACCATAAAGAAACCTTTTAACTTATTAGGTTATCACCTTTTTCTACTGTGTTTGAAAGTGTGATATGCAACCTTCTCGTAAAATGAAAATCCTACGAGTGTGATCCTTAAAGCCAAAGCTTTTTTACAATTACCACCTGCTTAGCAAAGCAATAAAGGAGAGCTGTGGCCAAAAGAAAAGCTGGCCAACCAAAATCAAGAGGAAAGGGGAAACCAAAATGGGATTACCTATCCCGCAATACCAGGAAAAGGGTTTGTGAAGACGTTATTGACTTTGAACTGGCCATCAGCTCAAATTGAATTTAAAAGCTAAAAGAATGGAGGGAAATGGATAGGAATTTGGTAATGCATCAAAGACAAAATTTTTAGAATTACCTGCAAAGTGGTGACCTCTCCTTCGAGTTCGGCTATTCTCTTCAAATGCGAATCGACAACATGCTGCTGTTGCTTGAGCTGTCGATCACGTTTTTCAATGGCTTCCTAAAAAATAAAAATATGTTTAAGGTCAAATGTATAATTTCAATACTTCAAGTTGAGGCACGAGTTTCTGCAGTTCTTGCGCATCGAATGTCCGATCCCCGATCTGAACCTAAAAAGCATAACTTTAAAATTACCTTATAAGTACTTTAATGTTGATATTAAATATGTTTTGTTTGTCTTTTGGCTCATATGTGCGCTCGCTCATAAATGACTCATTTATGCTTGGTAACGAGCGACAATACGACAAAGACTAAAAGTCAAGAAACCACAAAAAAAGAAACTATTGATCTGTTCGTCGCTCTCATTTTTCTTTCGACCTTTTGCAAATCCAGTAGTTTTATCAATGTCATATCTTAAGATCAAAAGATATCACGATATCTCTTGCAATTTCAAATAAAAACAGTTCAGTTTCTGTCACGAAAATGATAAACTAAAAAATGATAGGCCGCGATCAAAAGTTTTCCAATTGCCAAACGAAAGCAATTGCTAAAAGAAAGTTTTGACAAATAATTGAACATATTTTACGATCTAAGCTAAACATTTTTTTTATTTATTATTTATCATTTTCATTTCAAGAACTATATTTCAATTTAACAATTCAATACCACACTTACGGCTTCACGGCCATGGCCCCGTCCAAACATTGTCAAACGGTGAACGGAATAGTTTTCAAGTCAGTGATCTTTTCGTGAAAAAAACAAAGTGGGTTGGGGAAAATGCGGAGAGTGATCGTAGCGCTTCAACTCGGGGAGAGCAGTGGCGGGCGGGAGCCCTTTTCGTTTCCCATTTTCTTTACACGGGCACGCGAGACTCTATCACCGAGAAAGAGCGGCCGAACAAAGACGCAGAGGAAGCGCCCGAGCTTTGCAAGAATGCGCCCGCGAGAGGGGGGGAAACTCCCCATGCACAACACAACTTTGCAGTGTTCTTTCCGCACATCGATACGGCTTATTTAGATTGAATAGAAGAAAAACTGAACGGGAAAGGAGGCCAAAATTCAAGAGTATGATTTGCGAACGTTTCACGTGTGTAGCACTTTTTTGTGATCTTTAATTTAAAGTTCCAGGGAAGTTCTCAGAAATATTTTAAAAGATAAAAGTAACCTGTCCATTCACCGAAAGATCGGAGGGTTTTCGTAGTTTTGAGAAGAACCCTCTGATTCCTCCACCACCTCCGCCGCCGCCCGATGCCGGACGAGCGCTACTGGACATACCTGTAAGTTAAAACATTGTAAAACCAAATTACAAAATAAGAAGAAAATAGAACAAGTTAAGAGTCGTAGAAAGACATGAAATCGAACGAATGGATTAATGAATGAGAAAAACGAATGGATGATAGAAATACAAATATAGAAATTAAATTTTTGCTGTAGCCGGAAGGGTGCATTTAAAATACGACACAAAGTCAAGTACTGTGGCAACTTAGCCATTTTACACACGGAATATCGTTGAAGGTAAATAATTTTATTATTTTATTTATCAAGTTTCAAAAGAGGGTGAAGATGCACATATTGTGGATTGTATTGAAGTGAATTGAGTGAAATTGAGTGTGGAGATTGTTGTCTGTTGTGATCATCGATGATCGAATCGAGAAAAGGCTAAAAAAGAAAAGAGATTCACAAATTAGGGCGGAGAAAGAGAGAAAAGTGGATGGAATCGGTTTTGTGATGATCAGGGATATCACCGGGGGAGATATTGTAGAAGACGGAAAGAGGAAATTGAGAAGAGCTTATTGGGGTGGTGATTTTGGTGTTATAAGAACTATTGTACTGCTGCGCAAATGCAGTAACACTCTAGCTTTCGCTTTTCTTTCATTATCCTTAAATCTAAAATGTACCTAACCTGTAACCCCGAAAAAAACAAACGAGCCAAGCCGAGACAAAGCTAAACTTATCTACAGTTTAGAAACAGCTTTGAACTAATCTTTTAGTTTTTATTTTGATCTCTCTGAACTTACAACTCTCATTTAAACACTATACCATAGTTCTTTGCCACAAGTATAGTTTCCACTAGAAGCACAAATGCGCCTAAATGATTAGAAAGACAAATTGCTGGATAAAATGAGCGGAGGAGGGCCACCGTGAGAGTTGAGGTGCCTTCCCTGCCCCCTCCCCTACCCCATCCCCTTCCCCTCCCTTCCGTGGATCTCCACGGCAACTAAAAGAGTCCCCTCCCTGGTGCTTCCCCTTCAATAAATCGACTTCACCTCTCCCCTTTTTTTCATCTCACTAACCAACCGCAACTTTTATCCCTCCTAGACCAGCTTATCCAAAATCGGCATTCAATTTCCTTTTTCTAATTTCCGTTTTCTTTTATCCCTTTTCTAGTCCATTTAAGCTTGAAATTTTCTATTAAATCGAGAGTTCCGTCCCTAATTTGTGAACTCCACATTTCTATTTTTATCTCTTTGAACTTACCTCTTTGAACTCATCTGAAATCCAGATCCACTTGAACGCCGTTGATTGCCAAAAACGAATAAAACTCTTCTTGTTCTTGCTCGGCCATCAGAGCACCAAGTTCTAAATGATTTGAGAAAATTGGAGATGTTAGGTAATTAATTTACTGAAAGAAAAATAAAAAAGTGTTCCGTAGAGTGGAAAATTGAAGAGAGAAATGGGATGGCTGTGAAAGTCTCAATTCTTGGCCACGCGAAGGGGGACCTTGTGGTGCGCCAACTCAATTTGGGGGCCGTCTTTGGCCCTATGAGGGCACACACGGCGGGGTGAGGCGCGGAAGGGGTGATGGGGATGCTGAGGGCTACTAGGGGGGTTACACTTTTCGGCTTCTCCTTTTTCTTTCCTTGCCTTTCTACTCTATTTTCCTTATTTTCGAGGGAGAAGCCACCTAGATGAATAGAAGACGGGGAAGGGCAGAGAACATGCTTTTCCCTCTCTCCTTTCATGGATTCCCCGTTCTCTCCCTACTTTCCCTCTTTTCTCTTTCTTCTGATACTACTTTTTCTCACGATCCTTCTTCTCCTCAAAAAAAATAGCCAAATTTGGGCATCGATTCATTAACGAGAACACTTAGGCAATGGGTTTTTTAACGAAATGGAAAACTAATAAATGGATTTTGGAAAAATGGGGTTATTTGGAAAAATATAGATTTAGCTAATTGAGAAAATGATCAAAATGGGACATGCTTTCTTTAAGCCTCAAGATAAAGACCAATTGAGAAAATTCAAAATGCAAATGAGCTGTTGACTGGATGGAAAGAGATGAGAAGAGGAATCTCCCTTTTGTTTTTTTTTTGGTCATTCATTTCCCCGTTGAATGCTTTTACTGAATTGGAAAGGATAATAGAAAGGATTTGCAAGAATTGTACCAGTTTCTGAATGACTGAAGAAAGCTGATTCAAGGGGACTTATAATGGGTATTTGATAGCTCCACTGGGATTCTAAGGAAGCTATGTATTGACAAGGATGGAACATCAATTATATGTGAGACAAAACTAAAGACCAACTAGTGAGAGCTTGTCTCCTTTCCGGGCCATAGAGTTCGATCAATTTTAGAGTGAGTTCTCGAACGGGAAGATCTCCGACTTGCCATCTAAATCATAGATCTTTACTTGTAAAATTTCAGATTTTTTTCAGATCTTTTTTCAGATCTTTTTTTTGTTCTAAGAAATATTTTCTTGACTATGATCTCATCTAGAACTCAATATTTTATATTTTTAGACAACTTAAGAAGAAAAAACAACAAACCTTCCAATTAATTCTGCAAATTCGCGAGGTTCATTTGGTAGACAAACAACTAGCAAGCTGAAATTTAAGTGATATGATTGACTTTGAGATCACTTTGCTTTAGAGAATTCTTAGTTGATAAAATTTCTAGCATTTCTAGCATTTCTAGTATTTCTAGCATTTCTAACTTTTCTAAAACGTGTCAACTTTCGAATCTACCGTAACCTCCAAATACCTTGCTTACAATTAGGTTGACACGTTTAGAAAACCCCTTTATTTGAATGGATCATAATGTGACTTTACTTTATTTTCCATTCATTTCCCCATTGATCTCCCCAATTCAATCGTGTAGCCAACTTTAGAGGGAAATGAGTGAGTGTGGAGTGACTAGGAGAGATCTCAAAAGGGACATCCCATTCCCTCTCATTCCCCATAAAAGACCCGCCTCCTCCTCCAAAAGCCCTTTCCTCACCACTTTAGTTTTCCCCCTGAGATTCTCCTTTTTTCTTATTTCTTTCATTTCTTTTCTTGAATACCCGTTAGTTTTCTCATTGAAGAAGCCATTCTACTCCTTCCTTTCCCCCTTCAATCGTCGGCAGAATAAAAGAGGAAAGATTCCCAAGATTGGCTTCTCGCCTTTTTTACCCATCCCATTCGAATCCTACTCAGAATTCTTCAAATTACTCAAAAAAGGGATCTTTTGGAAAAATAGAAATTCTCAATCAATTTTGGAAATAAACTTTTAGTATTAAACGTATAAAACGAAGAAATGAAAGACATTTAGGGATCAAAATGGGAAATGGAAAAGAAGCTGTGATTGTTGAGAGAAAAGGATCTAATGAAAGCAATATTTTAAACTCCCATTCCTATTCCATAGAACCTACCGTAAATACTTGTAATAGTACCCCAGCCCCATTAATGACGGTGCGGAGTGTTGCGTAGTCTAGCTTTGAACGCGCTTTTCTCGACACTGGTTTATGCTACAATGCGCTAAGAGGTATCAAAAAATAGCCCTGAATTTCAGCTATTTTTTGATAGCAAAGAGGCATTTCTTGAAAGTACAGGCGCTTTGAAAAAATGAAATACTAAAAAACTTTTTGACTACGCGACTGTACGAGGGCGGTGGGGTACTATTACAGTATTTACGGTAACCATTTCCTTCCTTTCTTCACCCCTTCCCTTTTACAAATAATAGACTCATGCACTTTCTAAAACGTGTCAACTTTTGAAGCTAACATAATCTTGGTTTTTGTTTTATATCAAATCGATCTAGTTTTTATCCCTTTCGATTTTCTTTTCTATGAGCCCCTTCATAAAGCAGAAAAAATGTATCTAAATTATGCAAAAGTAAGTTTACGATAAATTTTCACCGGAAGATTATGATAGTTTGCAAAGTTGACACAGTTTAGAAAACGTTTAGAAAACAGTTTAGAAAACGCTTTTGTCAAGAGGAAATCACTTTTTACAGTAAACATTCACCCCTTAAACCCCCTTTGCAAACACAATTCCAAACCTGTTCCTTTACTTTCCACTTTCCCTTAAAATCAGTCAATAAACTATTTTTGTTTTCCACAATTTTCATCGAACCCTTCTCAGTTTTCGTCTTGATAATTCTCAAATACAAATACGTGAGAAAAAAAACAATCGTGCCACTTTGAAAGGAGAAAAAACAATCTACTTTGAAAGGAGTGAAAAATAGAATAAAAGCATTGATCAAACGTGAATTTCATGAAAAATTATCGTATGAATCGAGGCAGAAGAATTCATGAAAATACATGAAAATACATGAAAATTCATGAAAATACATGAAAATACATGAAAATACATGAAAATACATGAAAATTCATAACTGTACACCAAAAAGTAAATGAAATGGGAAACCAGACCGAATCGATATTCAATTTATGTTTTGAGCAAACAAAATCTATTTGTAAAGAGTCAAAATTTTTTATTTTTCAACTCATAAAGTTTGTTCATTTTTGTGTGTGTGTGTTGATGGATCGCGACCCTTACAACCCTTTCTCTTTTTTCTATTTTTCTCCCCTCTGCCCGTTGTTGGCTCATAAAGTACTCCTTTCCAAAAGCATAACCCAGTCTAGTGGAAGAAAAAAGTGCGGAGTGGAAAAGATTGAGAAAGGGAAACAAAAATCTCGAGGTTGATTTGGGGGATTTGTTCACAACTTTTGTTTACAAGGATTTGGCTACACAATGCGTTGGATTGTATCCGATTGAAGTCACAGTCAGACTATGAGATTGAAGACTTTACAAGAGTTTGTCTAAAACTTTTAAAATTCTAATTGTTTCATGACCAGCAAAGATGTTTAAGAAAATAAAAGGAAAGCTTCTTAACTCGAAAAACGTGTTGTTTAGTGTTCAAAAAGAGATTAAAATAGGGGTAAGTAATGGAATGGAGTAATGGAATGGAGATTAAGTAATGGAATGCAAGTAATGAAATGCAAGTAATGAAATGCAAGTAATGGAATGCAAGTAATGAAATGCAAGTAATGAAATGCAAGTAATGGAATGCAAGTAATGGAATGCAAGTAATGAAATGCAAGTAATGGAATGCAAGTAATGAAATGCAAGTAATGAAAGTACATTGGAATGCAAGTAATGAAATGCAAGTAATGAAATGCAAGTAATGGAATGCAAGTAATGAAATGCAAGTAATGGAATGCAAGTAATGAAATGCAAGTAATGAAATGCAAGTAATGGAATGCAAGTAATGAAATGCAAGTAATGGAATGCAAGTAATGAAATGCAAGTAATGAAATGCAAGTAATGGAATGCAAGTAATGAAATGCAAGTAATGAAATGCAAGTAATGAAATGCAAGTAATAGAATGCAAGTAATGAAATGCAAGTAATGGAATGGAGTTTAAAAGTCTAACAAAGTTGAAACTGCATTCAAGTGTGCTGAAAAACTATTGCCAAAGTTTTAATTGCTCACTAAATGTATTCGGTAATCGAATTTGAATAAGCAATTAGCAAATTTTGATCGAGCAATTAAATTTTGACTATAAATGAGTATTGTTTGACAAGAAATAAGAAAAAAGGATAAAATAAAAAATAAAATAAAAAATAAAATCAAACTTAACGTAGAGAAACTAAAGGTAACTCTTATTTGGGATTGATCGAAAAGGATCGGGGTGAAGGGTGAAAAAGAGGGCGCGAACGATCAACAACCTTTTTGACAGCGATCGCCTCTTTTTTCTTTCTTTCTTTTTACAGGCATTTTCCATGGATGGATTCATTTTTCATTTCACCTTTTCTACTAGGAAAACCATGAAAAACAGGAGAAATATAGATTGATGAAAATGAGAAAAAAAAATTGCGGAAAGAGAAGTGAGACTTGTTCGCCAGAAAATGTTCCCTTTTCAGGTTTTTGCTCCGAGACTGTCACAATGAATAACTCTCCATTCACTCAGAACTACTTTTGGAGTGAAAGTACCGACTGTATTGAAATCTACTTTTAGAATTAAAAGAATAAATGAGAAAAATTGAGAAATTTGTAATTCGCGAAAATTTTCCGAAATCTCATCGAAGCGACTTCGATCAGAAGCAGTGATAACGAGCAGCATTTCACCGAAAAAAAACGGCGATTGCAAAAAATTTTCGTGTTTTGCAGAGACAATTTGCAAGAAAAGAAAGAGAATTAAATGGATGAGAAGTGCTGATTTTTCGGCGATATTTTATGCAAGTTGAAAAGGGAGAAAGAAATTAGCGCTTAAATAAAAGCTAGATTGAATGCGGAAAAAAAAATGGGGTAGAGAGATGGAGAGAAGGAGAGAGAAATGGGGAGGCGAGGAGACGGGAATGGAGGAGGAATGGAGGGAGGAATGAAGGAAGAGATGGGAATGGAGGAGAAGGGAAATGAGAGATCGAGATCGATGGAGAGATTGATAATGAATAGGAGAAATGGGGGAGAAAGTGGACAGAACAAGAGATTGAATGAATTGATGAGATTTGAAAGAATGAGTGAAAAGAAAGGATAGGTAAGATTGAGAAGTGATATGGAGGAGAGTGGATGAAAGAAAGGATTGAAGATGGACAAGGATCGAATGAGGAATTGAAAGAATGGATGAGATTGAAAGGATAAGTGATTGAAAGAAATAAAAAGAAGCTGGCTGGAATAGATTGATGAGAGATTGAAGAAAGAAAATATAACAAGATTTCGAGTAGAGAAAAGGAAAAGAGATTGAAATGTAAAAGAAGTTCGAATGAGATTAAAAAGAAAGAAAGAAAGAAAATCGGGGATCAGAGCGGTTTTGAGAGGTCAGAGCCCTTTTCATTCTTTCCACTCTTCAATCTCCTTCCATTTCTCTGCCTTTCCCTTTCCCCCAAGCTTTTCTCATCCTTTCAAAAGCAAATGGCGGTCATCATCATGATCGAGATCCGTCTCTTCTTTTATGAAACCAAAAAAGACAAAATGAAAATGTTTACGTAATATTTTCTTGTTTTTGAGGGATCGATTTGAATATTGAAAACTTTAATCGGGGGAATTAAAGAGAGATCGAATTAGAGTAGAGAAAGGGAAGAAAAAAGATATCTCTTTCACCCGAAAGTAAGCACATTTCCCATTAAATTGCAAGTTTTTTGTTTTACCTCTTGAATGTAATCATTTGCCAGTGATGTGTTCACAGTTGAAGCTGTGGAAGCAGATGGAGCTCGGGGTGGAGTGGCTGCACTTCTGGAATTGATTTTGGATCGTAACTATATGTATAATTGAATTACAGTATTACTCTTTTATCTGTACTTGTTTTCTTTACCCTCTAAAATGTACTTGTTTTCTTGTACTTGTATTCTTTACCCTCTAAGGGTTCTTAAAATGTGTCTTGAGAAAACTATCGTAATCTAATCTCCCTATCTAGCTACCATAAGCTCAATCTATCTACTTTTGTCTCTTTCGATATATTGAACGACAACAAAAGTAGAGATTGGATAAAACTAGAGACAAGATTACGATAGTTTTTCAAAGTTTTTACAAGTTTTATCAAAACTTGAACCTTAAATCGTCAACAAGTGGAGAAGAAGCTGTTCGACTTTCGGTCAAAAGTCCTAAATAGTTAAGTAAAAGCTATCTTTTCAAAAAGCCAAACTATTTCTCGTGATCACAGTGCTCGGTACAGTAATGAGAGCCTCTCGATAGATTCGTTGGAAACGATTCGACGCACATTCACAAACAGCTTCGGCTATTTCCTAAGATTTCTTCAGTATTTTTTTCTTTCTCCATTAATTTTGCTCAACCTTTGTCCTACAATACATGATTGCTAAATCAAAAATTGAGGGATTTTTGTGAACCTATAAATGAATTTTTAGCTAAAGTACAAAAAAAATAATTCGACTTCTCCAACTTTCACACACAAAAATGTGAATGAAATGCCCGGAAATCTCCTCTCGAACATAGCCAATCGAAGCGATTTGATGAAGAGAAACACGGAGTTCGGAGTTGCTTAAATTTAAAAGCCATTACTCTATACTGAAGAAAAATTTTTCATTTATTATCGGCTAACCCCATCAAGAAGTCCAAGAACAGAAAGAGTTTTCTCATCCATTTGCAATTTTGCCGTTTCTCGAAACTCGCCAAGTCGTTGCGGTAAATAAACCAAACCATCCTCATGAAAAAAAAAGAAAAGATTTTGAAACGATTCACCATTTATTGAGTACCTTTGCTTTATCGATTGTTCTGAGCAAATCGGATCGTCCGGATGGATCGAGATTTGTGTGATCGACTCCTGGGATCACGCCACCGAACTGGAAAATGTGGGGAATTTCAATGTGAAACTCAAATCTGATGTGTAAATAAAGCTATTTTCATGCGATTTAATTCGAAAATACACATTTTTGGATGGTTTGGTTTTTGAAAAGTGAGGAATTCAGTGCAACAGAAGCCGAGCTTTTACGAGAAAACTGTTTAATTTTTCAATTATTGTTATCAAAAATAATCAAAAACCACTCTAGTTTTGGGATTTCACTCATTTCAATTTCCCCAAATTTCAAAGCTATTCGTTCACTCTTCCAAAAATTTAGCCAATCCTAAAAGTCTTTTTTTCGAACAGTTGTGGGCGTTAAATTTCAATGTCGAGTGAAATTTGAGCTTTTCATATTTTCTTTCTTTTATTTCTCACCAATTGCAACTGCCGCAAGATCTGCTTAACCACCAAAGCACAATTTTTAACTCGAATTTGTTGTTGTAGATATTTTTCCAGATTACTCACCATTACTTGAAAACGGGTCGGTAACTCGATGTGTGGAACGGCCATTATTGCAGGCAAAACAACTTTTCGAAAGAAAAATGGAGAGAAAAAAGGCGTAGTGAAGAAATAGTGAAATAGTGTTGGCCGACCGTCGGATGGGGACACCACTTATTGACCATTTTGCCTCTCTCAAATCCCCACAAACACTTCACCAACCGCGAAAGACAGATAAGGCCCCTAGAAAAAAGAAGACACAAAACTAATAGCAAAATGCATTGATTCCGTTCTGAAAATTCGGTAAAAGTACATTTATTTTCACCAAAGCTAGACTAGAAAAATTAAGTATTTAAAGAACCGAACCGGTACATCAATATCAAATGCATTAAAAAAGAAAAATTTAACAAACTGTAGAATACTATCAAGCTCAAGGATACACTTCGCTATCACAAACATTGATTAGGATTAAAGCAAAAAAAAACAGAAACCAACTGCAAAATTTAAAGCTTGTTTTGGGCTTTTCCATTTATACGTTCCGGTGAAGATATAGCCAAATTTGCGTGACAATTCATCCGCCTCGGACCGGTCCACGGCTACAAATAAAATTATTTGACGGAAAACTGGTACTACTATTACCCGCCAAACTTGTACTGCACCGGTTTGACTTTCTCCTTTTCAAGTTGCTGCAAAAGTGGTGTAAACACACGCCATGCATGTTCAAGCTCATCGGAACGGACAAAATTGATTTGAGATCCCATAAAGACTTCAAGGAATAGACGCTCATATGCATCAGGTAGACGGACACCCTAAATCAAACAAACGTGTCGATGCCTGTCAATAATCTTGGATAAACAATAAATGACAGCGTTTACGCGTCTAAAAGTTTACATGATAGCGACTATTGTAGGATAGATCCACAATTCAGACTCTTCGACTCCAAAATCCATCCCCGGTTTCTTGGTCATCAATTTTAGGTAGACAGCTTCATTTGGGGCAACGCGAATCACGAGCTCGGTTCTAATTCAAAAACTACAAATTAAAATCGAGTCCAATCATACCTTTTCAGCTCACCCGGAGCATAAATATCACCAGGGACTTCGCGGAATTGAATTCGAACCTCAGATTTCTTTTCATCGAGACCTGAAACAAGAATACCAGTTTAATAAATCTGAATTTCATTTTTCAATATAAATATTTTTACCTTTCCCGCACTTCATGATGAAAGGAACGCCGTCCCATCGCTCGTTATTTACCTAAACACCATTGATCAAATAATAAAAACTAGTCAAACCTTCAAAACCGCCATGCAATAGGTAGGTGTAACTGAATCGTTTGGAACATCTTTGTCATCCAAATAGCCAGCCTTGGCTTCAGGATCTGGAATTGATTTTACATTAACAAATTGAAATGCGCAACACAAACGAGCTGAGTCGGGATTTGCAACATACTGTCCAACAATGACGTCTTTCAATTCAACAGGCGGCATCGATTTCAAAACTTTAACCTAAAAATAAAAAAATATATTTCAAGAGGGGACGCGCACTTTTTCATCTCGAATATCCTCAGCGTTGAGGGAAACGGGTTTTTCCATTGCAAGCAGGGTAAGAACCTGCATTAGATGGTTTTGCATAACGTCGCTAAAAGGAAAATTAAATAGAACTTTTCCCTGCGTTACCGAATAATGCCTGAAGTGTCGAAATATCCCGCCCGTCCTGCAGTACCGAAATCTTCCTAAGTTACAACAAAAATTGAAAAAAAGAAAATAAAATCAGTACCTTGAAAGTTATTACCACCGATGCAATATGATCACGGTTCCAAGAGGGACCAAACAGACGATTTCCAAATCTAGAATCCTTTAGTCTATCCAAAATTTCATAATTTATCCACCGTAGTGTCATCAGGTTTTGGACCATTTCCTTTCCCAGATAGTGATCAATTCGATAAATCTAAAATTAACATGCGCGGATAGCAACAACATTATTTACCTGATCTTCTTTGAAAAGGGAACTTAAATGTTTGGATAGCTCGGCCCGACGAGTCACTGTCAGTTCCAAAAGGCTTCTCAATGATTATCCGTGTCCAAGAATCGCTAAAAAAAGTCAAAAATATGATAGATTAACGCATAAGATTTTACCCATAGTCCATGCAAGCTTCCTTAAGATGTTGGGTGACTTCTGCGAAAACTGAAGGAGGCAGAGCGAGGTAGTAGAGACGATTAACGGGCTCTAAATAGACAAAAATAAAGAACAATTACAAAAACTTACGTTTCGTCCTCTTCTGTAAATCATCATTAAATTCTTGTAGTTTCTTGAAGCTCTCGACCTTATCATAGCTACCCTAGATGTTTTTCTGATTAACAAAAACCCTTGAGGAAAAAATACCTGGATATATGTGTTTTGCTTCAAAAATGCCTCAAATTTGTCTTTCTCGTTATCCCGTACCTGAATTTAGTTTATATCAGTTTTTTAAATCCACTTATAAGTCAACCATTGAAAGTGTATAAATCCAGATAACAAACCTTTGCATTCTTTTCAAAGCTGTCTCGAATTTTCTCCATCGTTAGATCTGATCGAGCATAACCGACGAAGTGAACGTTTTTCGGTAGTAAATCATCGCGATAAAGCCACCACAAAGTTGGGTAGATTTTCTTTCGAGCGAGATCTCCCTAAAACAACAAGTTAAGTATCTCCAAAAATCCACTACCGATGCTCCAAAAATGACAAAAACGTATGGTGGATCTTGTTGTACCGATTCTCGCATGGACTCTCTAAAACGGAAGAAAACATAACCTATTATTATTGTGATTATTTTAATTTTAATTCTTTTATTCTGCTGCTGAACAACCAAACTGCCAGTAAAATAAACATTTTTGATAGTTACCTCAAAACCTCCAAATATTGCTCAAGTCTTGCTATTTGTGCTTTAATTAAGTCGTTTGAGGAAGACATATTGTTTGAATGTTCAAAAGTAAGTCAAACCACTCAAAGAGCGTCAAAAATGCCAGAGTAACAACAAAAAAAGATCGCGCCTCCTCCCCATTTCTTTTACCCTCTCCAATTTCCCCACACTCTAACCCTATATTCTGGTCTCCGTTTCATGCACAAACATTCTCTGCCTATTTGCGAGATGACAAGAGACTCTCCTCAGCAATTTCTAGAGTCTCAACAGAAACTATAATCCGTCTCATATTTCAGTCGCCACAAATCATAAGGCTAATAGTAAGATAGTCTTTTGTGTTCTGCAGTTTTGCAAAGAACTTCTAATAAGTGAAGAAAGAGATAAACCTTACTTGAGATAGTTGATTAAATCCGGCGAGAGGGGGTCCGATCGAGAAACACGGCGGTCTCCCACGTTGACTTGTAGTGTACTCATCTGTGGACAAACTAAACGAAAGGTACATTCGATATGTTCGTTTCAAATTTCCGAGAGTGCAAAAAATGCAAATATCTAATGACGAAGTTCTTCAAAAACTAGCAATCAAAGTAATAGGTATCTAGGTAGAAATTTATGCAATCGATTAACATGGCTATTCTGCCTAGACCATATGTAAACTTTAGTCCCGTGGGATCGTCTATAAAACTAATTTTGCTCACCAAAAAATATTTGCAAGCACGACTTTGAAACAAACTAACTCAAAAGTCGTCAGTCGCAAATAAATTGGTGAAAACTAATAAATATTTACGAGTCCAACAATTTTATAAAAATTCTATAAAGAAGCTGAGATCGTCCCCGTTTCCAGGCTGAATATTTTTAAATCAATTCAGTGAGAATCGGAACTCTTTCAACAATTTCTAATCGACTGGCGTCTCCGCAAAAGAGTTGTTTAAAAAACCCAGAGAGCAGAGATAAGAATGAAAGCATCCATGTTTTAGCAATATTCTGAAATTTTTTCAGAGGAGATTTAACATTTATTGACAGAGTAAAATGTCAAACGGAATGTACAATCAAATTAGCTAAGTACACAAAATTGTACCAGATCCGGCATTGATTCTCCGGTTATTCTTTATCGGTTTCCAGGTTGATGTGATCACCAAATTTTTCGTAGAGATTTGTCTTCAGCTTTTCCATTTGCTCTTCCAAGTTCTTGCTCTTATCCTGTAACGATTGGATCATAAAGTTATAATTATCGAGTGTACAAGTTAATTCGCCTCAAAAATGTGATAGCTTCACGCACATCAGAATTCCTTTAAACAATTATCAAGCGTTCAAGCATTTCTCATAGCCCATTAAAATATGAAACAGGTTCCCACCTTCATCTCGTCTACATCGGTTTCAACCTGCTCCTTGTCTTTTTCTAACCTTTCGTTAATCGAATCCTGAATTTAAAAACTTTAGTTTGTATTAAAAATAGAATATTACCGAATCAAAATGAACAAAAGTTTGTCCAATTTTATAAGGTATCGCTTGCCCATCATCATCCCCAAGCAGCTGAAATTTATGTTGTAAAAAAAGCAGAACAACAACCTGTTATGGCACACCCACATGCACAACTATTAACAAAAACAAATCACCATGATTTCATCAACGGCTTCGTTGATATTTGCCAAATCTGTCATTAATGAAGCCATTTCTTCCTGAATTTCAATAATTATATTATTAAAAATCAACTTATTTACCCTTATTTGAGCAAAATTTTGGTGAAGTCTGGCAAATTTATTGATCAATTGCTGGTCGGCGGCCGTGACATTCGGCTGTTCATCGCTATCGCCAGAAGCCATCTAAAGAATAGTCAAATTGAGTAACAATAAAATTGAAGAGATCAATCTATAAAACCTTTTCTCAGTTTTTGAAGTAAAAATTTGAGTTATTTTTTGTTTCAAAGCAAGATTTGGTGCACGTTTGCGGGATCTGCCTGGTGAATGAACTCTTTATCAGGGGTGCATACGCTAGAAGAAAAATAAAATAAAATAGGCAAGTCAAAATCATTGCAATAATAAAACGAATGCGTCAGATGTCCGAGATTTAGCTTGATAGGGTAATATGATTATCCCCAAAGTAACCCAGTTAGCTATTTTATTTCATTTAAACTTAAGTTTCATAGATTACTTCTTCATCAAAAATGGACAAATTTAAACCGATGAAGACCAAAAGTCGTAACAGAATAGGTGTCCCCAACACTCACAGAGTCCAACCGTCTATAGCTCAACTCCGTACTCAAAGATATAATTTCCAAATCCGTACAAGTCTTTCAAGGTATCAAGAAGTAAATGCACATTTGAGAATGCTTTTCTTGCGATTGAACAATGTTTTGAAAGATTTTATTAAATAACAAAAAACAACGGATAAATTTTAATCGAAGAGGCCGAATCCCATATCTAAATAAAAGAAATATTAAAATTCTACCATACTGTCACAAACCGTCATCAGATTCCTCCTTTGGTTCTTCTTTCTTTTTCTTCTCTTCGGCTGGGGCTGATGCGGCGGCTGGGGCTGAACCACCTGTGGCTGGGGCCGCAGATGCGCCTCCTCCACCAGAAACGGACACAAGATGCTTGGAGCCTTCGGCGATCAATTCCTAAAACAAAATATAAGTTTTGAGAAAAACCCAGACTAATTTTTATAACTTAAGTACTAAACTCTGACATATCACAAGCTGATTCAAGTAAAATAAACTTTTGATTTAACGTTTCCTGTCTCAACCCGGATTTCTTAATGTAAAATGTATTCGATTTAGCAATATCTTTTGCTAATTTTTGAATTTTAGATGAATGCTTTGGGATTTTTATGCTGCACAAAGAGATGCCATAAAAACAAGCATCATGTACCTACTGGATCTAAATTCAATAACAAGTACCCGGTCAGACTTGTGGAATCTCAAGATGCTTATAGGCAATAACTTCAAAGACCACTTACGGAGATTGTTTTTCCTTTCAGTTTTGACACAACAAGTTTGGCTTTCTCTCCATCGGCATCGATTCCCACCGCCCCGAGTATGTTCTCAATATCTGCCACAGAAGGGTGCTCGTTTCCGCCCAAGACGGCCAACAAGTAACTGGCTACGTAACGCATCGGCTAAATAAGAAAATAAGTTAATTTTAGCTCAAAAAAACATAGAGAAACTTTTAAGAGAGCTTCTAAATGCATCTTGCTATAAAAATAAATACTTTAAAGAACAGGGGGTTCTGGAACAACCTAGATACTGTAGAAAAAGAGAAAGTCGGCGGTGATATGCATTCCTGGGGATGCAAGATACATATTGTAATGCAAAGAACGCCGTCGAGAAACGGGCGACAAATTACGAATTACAAGTTCTACATCACAAAAAGTGAAAAATTTTCACGAATGAAACTAAAATGAAAAGGCGGAAAATTAAAATGTGTTTGTAACGTATCAGCTGAATAGCAATTACCTTTTTCTTTTTGTCTTACTGCACTATATAAGATTGTCTATATCGAATTTTGAATCAAAAAGGAATTTCAGTCTTGGATTCTAGTGTTCGTGCTCCGTTTTAACTCTTTCCTCCTTTAAAATTTGTGTTTCTGTTCGAATTGACTTAGTTTTAATATTCTAATTTAGATGATTGAAGACCACGATGCGCCCTCTACAAGTAGAGGCCGAAAGCGCGGACGTAAATCGAAAGTTGAACCCGAAGCGACTATGATTGAGACTTTTGATGTTGGTTTTTGTCATTTCCTTCAAGAATTTTGATTTAATGGCTGATTTAGGAAGAGGGTCTAATAGAAGAAAGCGAGGAATCGACATCTGGCTTTAAAGTATGCATTATATGTTCGAAAAGTGTGCATAAATCATTTAGCTCGAGGTTACATCACAGGAACCATCATCAACTTTCAAGGAGGGCATTTATAATCAAGGTAATGTAGTCGCGTAAATACGTTTGAATATTATTATTTAAGGCAATTTTTATGGGTGGACGAAAGATTGGAATCCCGAATGGATGTATCGTCTACCCGGGGATGTCGTTTTGACAGCAATTCGAAATGGCGGCTCTGAAGGTTAAGAATTTTGTTTTGCATAAAAATTGAGTTTCTTTAGGAAGAGGTCGAGCAGAAATTGGAAAATGTCTCGGTATTGATACTGCTACAAAACCTGGAAATCGTCGAGTCAGCGGTCATATAGTTGCTGTCCAAAAAGAACACGAAAAGCATGTGGGCCAATTTCAAAAGATGGAAGGAAAAGTTCGAATGATCAAGTAATTTTTTAAGAACTTTTATCAAAACCTAAGTTTAGGTATTTCTGGAAAAAGTCGGCCGAGCCCGAAACATTCCAGAAGCTCTTTGATGATTTCAGAAAACTTGCCAAACGAGAATGTCCTTTCAAGATGGGACAAACTATTAAATTTCCCGATACTGGATTGAGTAAGTTTTTCCATCTAACAAGTGCTTATTTTTTTAGGTACTCTTCGAATTTCGGACGTTAGTCTTCGCCGGTTAAATGACATACTAGAGGTAAATTAACTTTTTTTCAAAAATCAACTTTCTAATTAAAACTATTTAGCTTCTAAGTGTCGAAGAAATTCTGATTCCTATCCATAAAATTCTGAAGCATATTCACAACAAAGAAATGGCACAGGGATACCAATTTCAGGTGGAATTAATTCAAGATTGTTTATGATTCCGTTTAGATTGACAAGAAAAGCATGATGAAGTGTCTTCTAGCTCTCAAGAAAGAAAATTTATTGAACATTTTCGAAACACTTGTGACTAGCGAAAATGTAGAAAACAAAATTCAAATTGTCACTCGGCCATATATTTCCTCCGCGGATAGTCCCGAAGTGGCGGCAGAAATTCAACGTACGATCGATCTGTACCACGCCGAAGGGCGAGTTTTTCCACATGGCCAACTTCGGTTAGTGAAATTTGAAGTTGCATTAAACACTACTTACTACTAGATACTCAACCAAAAAACGGACCGAAGCTGAGAAGCCGAAACAACCCGGCAAGAACGAGATCAATTCACAATTGAAGCAAGCACAAGAACTATTAGAAAATGGATTTTCGGTTGTTTTAAACGAACTTAAAATTATGATCGCAATCCTTTTAGTCCGGAATTTCACTTGAGCAACGTTATGCCTTATTTCGCTTGCAGAATTCAAAATCAATTGTGGCTAGACCAAAAAGTAGTGACCAGGTAATATATCACGCCTTTTTACGGAGCTCTTTTAGTTTAGTTTTGATATTTTGCAAACAAACTGACGTTTAGATGGGAAGCTCGGGTTTGAACGAAACAACTACGAACGAAGACTCAAGAATTGATGGAATTGACAATACATTAGATTTGATTGCGTTTGTTTTGCCATTTAATTCATGCCAATTTTTTTTAGCAATAGTATTATGGAGGAAACGAGTTTGGAAAAAGAAAATGAGCCTACAGAAAACAAGGAAGATGAGCAAATCGACGAAAAAGCAGCGCACATTTTGTTAAACTGTAATGGTGTAAGTTTCAGATTAAAAGGTCATTGCAAGTCTTTATATAGGTACTTTCCGATGGCGTGGACGACCCATCTGTGCCAATGAGAGCTATCCCCAAAACATTAGAACATCTTGTACGCAAGAAAGATCTGTATGATCCACACATTGAATATGGATTTCAAAGCAAGTACATTCGACTTTGCGCTTTACATGACACCGTTTGGCATTTTGTTTATGGAAATCCCAGAGGGAAACCTTCTGTCTTCGAAAGGTATCAGACAACAGGGGAAAAATTGTTTTAATTTTTTAGATATCCACCTGGTCGAGATCCTGTTTCGTTGCCAGAAGTGTCATTGGATCAACTGCCAGTTTACCAAGAGACCGAAACCCCGTATCGATTCATGCCATCATGCGATTACGAAGATTTGCCAGCTGGATGGTTTATGCTTCAGGTGCGTTATATTCTTTTGCTCAAAATAACTTTTTAATTTTAGGATTTTTATTGTGCTCTACCGTTCTCCGTATTTTGCCTATTGTCTCAAATACCGAAAAGTGCTCCGGTTAATTAAATGATAGAAAATTTATAGTTCAAGTTTTTAGAAAGAAGATGTTTTGCAACTTTTGACTGATCCAATTGCTCGCCATACTCCTTTAGCTGACTTGCCAATCTCTATTAGAAAGCCACTTTTCAAAGACAAAAGAAACTTACGGTTGAGTTTCTTTTTAAGGTGACCATGTGTATGTATGTTTTCGTTTAGTCAAATTGAACATACTGTATTTCAACTCTGTGCAATGGGCTTGGGAGTGCTCGCTCCAAATCCTGATCCTAAACGATTTACAACAGCACACACTTCTGTTTTTTACATATCGAAAGAGTAGGTTTTATTCTGCAATAGCCCAATAATATTGTTAGAAAGTTTCACTTTACAATCCAAATTTTAAGGGGTGTTCTTTATGATACAAGCACGAGTGAAAGAGGATATGCCAAGGTTTCATTGCCATTAGAACAATATAATAGGTAAAGTATTATCATTTTCAAAATTTATTGTACTGTTTAGGTACGTTTATCAGTTTGATGATCACAATCAGGTTTCATTGTACTGGCATCATCTTCGGGCAATAAGTTTGTTTCATTAAAAAATGGGGCTTATTGTCACCACTTTAGGTCAAAGTACTCCATTGAATTTTCGTCTTGAGCTCGTTCCTGGAGAAATAAATCCAAATCGTCACAAGAGTTACTCGCTCGGAATGTTTGATCGGTCAACAATTACCTGGGATGGAACTACAAATGAAATTGTGAGAATTATATTATTACAATTTATTATTTTAATTCTAGACCTCGTTGGAAATTCAACCTTTGGGCCCGCATGATGGGTGTGCTGGTTTTGATTCAGCCCTTTACCTTCACTTAAAACGTCATTGGGACTTAAGCCCACGTCCTAACAATGTCGTTTCGTGGTTTGTTTCGTGGTTTAGAAGGTGAACTACAATATGTAGCTGTAAAAGCGTTGGCATTCAGAAATGGTGATTTGGCTAAGTCTACCATTGAGCAACGTGTCGTCAAACTTCAACGTGACTGGAATTCAGTTGTACGATCATTAATGCCTTCAGATATGGAATTGACAAGGAAAAAACGCGTCCGCGTAAGATCTTTAGTTTTATTGTGGTTGTGAAAGCAGCAGAGCCAATGTGTTACACTTGTTAGCAAAAAAACTGAAATTTTAGGCATCGACAGATTTCGTGCCCTCTACACTGGCAATGCAATCTCTTCATCTGGAACCAAAAGTTCGCATTCCTACGGCACCAAAAGTAAAATATTGTTTCAGATTTTAAAAAGTGTTTTTAGGGTGTTCGTCATAAGAAAAGGCCATTGGATAACGTCGACATAATTTCCCAGCAGAATCGTCTTAATCTAAGATGTCGTTTTTCTGCTAAAGAGCGCGATATGGTATACATATTCATCTCCATTTAACTTGGGTGGTTGATTTAGTTGATCCTTATCCGTGCTGTTGGCTTCTTTTGAATCCGGTCTATCGATTTTGGTTGGATCCATCGGCAGTTCGAGATATAATGCATGAATACGTGCCAGAGAGTGGAACTAAAACAGTGCAAAGCTTGATGGCAGCAGGTATCAAGAAGAAGACTATTATGATAATAAAGATTTTTAGGTGTTCGTGAATTAGTCCGTCCTAACCGACTTGCCTACTTACAACGTATTGTATGCAATCTAAATACCTTTAAGGTGAGTTATTGCATTGAGCTGTATTTACAAAACCTTCAGGAAATGAGAGCGTTACGGTTTCAACTCGCTAGCGCTCCATTAAGTTCAACTGAAGACAAAGTTAAATTTTTCAAAAATGCATTCAATATGGCTAATCGACTCTTGTTCATGTAGGTTCAACCTCAAAACTTTCATCAAGCTCTTAGGGAAGCACAACCTTTGCCTTCAACAAGTGCTAATGACTCAGTCTTCGAGATATTTTTGGCAAGTGGGAAGGTGAGGCTTAAAATATATATAATTTTTTTTGTTTTCTTTTAGGCGATTATTTCTTCGGAACAAACAAGAACGCAAACCCCGGTTCCCTTGCGTTCTCAGAGACCAACATCATTGAGTCACATTCATCATTGTACGACCACAAATGTCTTGCTGGTATTTTGATGATTGGTGTTGCGTTCGTTAGCTATTGGTTTAGAGTGTTCTAATTGCAAATGCCAACTGTGATGATCAAAAACCTGGTGGAGAGTACATTCTTGAGCAGTTAAATCCAACGGACATCAACAGTACTTTGCAGGTTTTTCAAATTTTAGTTAAATGATTTCCAAACTCGATTTAAGGTACTACGTGCAGATGGTCTGATTGCTCGTCCACGTGTGGCTGTAACTGATCAAACCATGCAGTATAAAAATCAAGCAACACTCAGTCACTAGTGAGTTCAAAAATGCGTTGCATTACTTATTTATTTAGTTTTCGACACTTCTTCGGGCACCGCTTTCATGTTGATCTAATTGAACAAATCAACCAGATTCGATCGTGAGTTACCTAATAAATGTTTATGTCCAGCTAAAATTAGGTATCTCGACGATATAAACGATAACGGTGGTGAATTAGCCGACTTGGAAGATTATGCGGGAACTGTTCTCATTGCGACTGATTCGTTTTACAACAAGGTCAGCTTTTTTAGTCAATGTTTCATAGACAATTTAGAACGAAATCGAGCTCGATATCGACGATGCTCTTATCCAAATGTTCACTGAAGCGGCAAATCAAGTTTGTCAGAATTAATTCCACGAAGCAAAATAATAAAATTAGAACTCTACGAAACAAATTCGCTACCTCGAGTCGACCGATTTGCATTTGGAAAGAGTTCATGTTGTTTTGGTATGGTTGCATGTTTTTTAAAGTTTTCAATAATATTTAGACAAATCCTGACGATCCGGACTCGCTACCAACGATGAAGGAAATCACATCGCTGCTCGACACATCCATTCCGGAGGATGCAATCCAAGCCCGTCCTTTAGAAGAGTGGTTAGCCGAGGTTTTTACTACAGATGCGGATGATAAAGAAATGCGCAGTGTTACAATGGCTATTCAAGCAACTGAAGCATATGGAGTCAATCTCTCCGACTTGCAGGTACGAAATTTTTTTATTTTAAGCAAACTTTCAATTTTTTAGACTACAACGAATCTACCTTTTGACAAACTTGTTCCTATTATCGAGAAGTTACGAGACGGCTTTCAAGTGAGCTGATAAAGCTCATCAAAAATCTGTTACCTTTAGATCATTGAAGCAGGTGTTGATACAAAACGATATGTTTGGCACACCTATGCGGATGCGTGGACTGTAGTTGTTGATGGAAAGCGCTTGTGCCCTCGGCCTTGGATTCAGCCCGCAGGATCTATCTGCCTTTCAACTGCTCGCTGGGTTAGTCTGATTAAAGATTGATCTTGGATATTTTTATTATAGAAGTAATTTTCTCTGTTTTAGATGTTGGAAGCACTTTTGATGGCCGTTGTGAATAAGCCAGGAATCCAAAAGAAGGATTTACAATTCCGTTTCGAGTTTGCTCTACAACCCGTAGCCCTTGAACAACTAATAAAAGTAAACTTTTTGTACTTTGTGTTTTATGCGCAAATTCAGGTTCTAACTTATTGCGAATGTTTGGTTGAAAACTTCGAAGCGTATGAAGCAATGCAGTTTTCAGGGCCATTTGAGGGTTTGTTAGTTTTGAGGTAGAAAACGACAGAAGTAAAATTTTAGCGGCGCCAAGTCAAACGGTTGTACATACCTTGGAGCCAACCGTACAAGCCATTCAACGCTTTGCTTCGATTTTTAGGGATGTATGTTTTCTTACCTCTAGAGTTTCAGTTTATGCCTTTATCAGGTTCAACCGATTCATCTACTTACTTCTGGTCTACAAAGTTTTGCGACTGAAGATCTGGGACTGAACGATACGAATTCTACGGGGAAAAAAGATGTAAGTAAAGTACTTTCGAATTTTTTTGGTGAGAAGTAATTAAAATAGTGGCTAATAGTGTGTTTATTTCAGGTTCCTTTGTTGACCGCACCAACTCCTATGGAAGAAATCTAATTTTAGTAAAAAATTTTCACTTTCTTTTTCGTCTTTCCATTGATTTTCATTCGGGTGTTTTCTCTGATCTATTTCTCGTTGTTAACATTGGTTGCTGAAATTCAAATTCGAATTTTCTATTCTCATTAATGTTGATCAAGTAATTACCTACGTTAATTTGTAAATAAATGTTATAAGATTTTCATAAAATCATTTTATTACCGTAAAGACGACGAGTTTACTTACAAAATTGATAGCATGATTGTTCCTACTTTCTTATCCTGTCAGGAGTTATGCCAGATGAAGAGCCGGGCACATCAAAAGAACCTGCAACGGAATCTCTTCTCACAACATTTTCAAGCAAATTTAAAGACAAACTATGGCAGGCTAGACAATCGCAGAGAATCAAGGATGAGGTACAACAGTGACACATAGCATTTATGCAGTATTTTAGGGAGAGCCGTTAACAATAAAAAGCTCGATTTCTTATCCTCCTGGGCCTGTATATTCTCCTCCATGGCCCACTGAGGTAACTTTCGACTCTGTAAATCTTTTAATGATTATTAGCAAACTTGGACAGCCGGGTGGAAAAGGTTAAAGTCGATCTATGAAGCCGAAGTGTCAATGGAAAGAGACGTCATTCGAAAAGTATTAAACCCTTCAAACGAAAAATTAAACTTGTGATAGGTCTGTACGACATCGTTTATTGCCGCTTTTCTTCTTGGTGGTGCGTCAGGATATCAAGAAGCCGGAAGGGTTTATGAGCAAACGCATGTCGGAAAAGCTTATCTTTCACAACGAGACGCTTTGGTTTGTCAGCTGTGTTTTTGTGAAATTTTGATTTAGGTACGAAGGATGGATTATGGCATTTTGAAATTTTCAATTAATGGGACGAAAACTGGTGTGAAAGCAATGTTGCTTGCTGGCTCAATCATGTATAATCCTCAACGTGTATTAACAAAACTGATTTTTAGTGGAATCACACTTCACGTGGCTGCCTATCGTGCCCATTTTTCGCCTTTTTATTTTCCAGCGTTTTCAGGTGCTGTCTCGGGAGTTTTACATGGAGGTAGAAAATTTGTTTGAAACCCATATTTTATAGTCGCAGTCGGAGGAATTTTTTCGTTTCCGCTGGGAGTCATTGGAGTGGCCAAAGCAATTGGACTCGGCATCAGCTCAGGGTCAGTAAACTTTGATCCTCTTTTAAATATTGTTTTCAGCTTCACCCTCGCTGCGGGCTACCACCTTTTTGCTTTAAGCATCGACAAAACGGCAGATGAATCTTATTGGTATTTTAAAAATGAGTATGAAAAGGTAACGTGCAAAAATATCAATTGCTAATAAATATTTAGGAACTACAAAGCAAGGTTGATTTTGATGCAAAAGTTCGTCGAGTAATGGAAGAGAATCCTGATATGTGGTTAGTTTCAAGTCAAATTTTAAATAATTCAGAGTTATATGTTGCATCACTTCCTAAAAATCTTTTCTTTAGGTGGAAGGCAAAGGCTATAAAATATGTGAAACAACTTGAAGAACAAGAACGACAGAAACACGATTTTTGAAGCGTAATAACTATGGTTCAAAAACAGTGTTCGTAGTTAGATTAGGATATTTTATTGTTGTTACTTGTCATTTGTGCATGATAAACATTTTTGTACCATGTGATCAAAAATGTCTTCTGGCAGACGGAAGCGCCTAAAATCGAAATTTATTCAGAATAATCTACCAATAACAAAAATACAACTTGTACAACTACATTTTCGTCGTGTGGGTACTAAAATGACTCGGAAAAACCAATTTGACAGAAAAAACCGGCAAAAAATTGAAAAGTATCTTTAAGTAAAAATCTGATGAGCAGCGAAGTTTTCATTCTTTATTCTTTGGGCATTGGGACATCTCCGGAATCGTCTTCATCATCAGCAGTCGATAAATGAGCTTTCAATACCTTTATTTGACTTAGTTAAAGTTATTTAGCCAAAATCTTACCGCTCCCTCGTTGTAATGCATCTTGCGTTTTCGCTCGAACTCTTGTTTATGCTCTAAAGTAATACATTTAGAATAACTATTAGTTTCCATACTGATTTCCTCTTCGTCTAAAGGCTCTTCGTCACTTGGATCAGCTTCAGGTACCTTCTTTTCTTTCGTCAAACCAGCAAGAACAGTGGCAGGAGAGAGATCAACGGCCGTGCCCTAAAAATTTTCATACGTTAAATTCTGTGTAATAAATTTCACAAAGTTGTGTCTGATACGAAAAATTAGTTTGTGCTTATTATCTGCACCATCATCATAAACCAACCAGGCTAACCCTTCTTTGTGTTCTGTGCGTACTCCCGGCTGCCTCATCTCCGCTTTGCTCTCCTTCGCCGTCCGAAAAATGGTAAGGGGTTTTTGGCTCGTCGATCTAAAAAAAATCTTATAATTCAATTATTTCTTGTTGGGGGAAATCTCTCTAGTATCTCTAGTGCTCAGGTAAAACTAGGCTTTTCACCTGCGGGCATTTACATAAAACATCTGCTATTCCTTTAAAATATACTTGGAAATTAACGATGGATAGCAAAAGAAGTGCGAAAAAATTATGTTTTTTTTCGCCAAATTGAATTGCGGTCGGGAAAGGGTTGCGAAGTGAATGTGCAATCAGCAAAAGGGAATGGCGGCTAAAGAGGGGACAAGGGCCAAAAGAGGCCAACCAAGGGGCAGACGCTAAATCATAGCAGTGGAGAAGAATCGTAGAGTATAAAAAACAACCTTCATGTGTCCATAATCCTTGTCGGCTGGATGATGAGTTGCGATAATATTCATTTCATCAAAATGAGCCCTTCCATCTTTATTGTCCAGAGATGCCTGTTGTTTTGCCTAAATTTAGATCAAATTAAATTGATTTGAAAACAAAGCCGACCTTTAGAATGCTCTTCTTTGGTTGTCGTTTCAAAAACTCAGCTGGATCAACCCCATCACTAAAATATTCAATAAAACGCTGAAAAAATTATAAAAATATACTTGCTTTGTTGCTCCAAAGAACTAGAAGGTGGCATATCGGAATCGGCCATCTAAATTGAATGTGTTGAATTAAACGGCTACAATTTGTGGAGCTTAAAAAATCTAAACATGTGAGGGAAAAGAAAAAGAAAGAGGCACGACGATTCATGAGGAAATGGGGAAGGGCGGGGTCTAGCTCGATAGAGAGAAAATGGAAAGTGGGGACTCCTAGCAACGCATTTCCGTGGACCACTTGCAATTTGTTAAAACGAGTACCCGAGAAATTGCGCCTTGATCTCCATCGGAACCGCCAGTGACAGCTCTACTTTTTGTGGATGATGGTGGCGGTGAAGTTTTCTAAAATGTGAAGTAAGCATGGCATTTAAAAGTTCAGAGGGCTTTAACTTTAGCCCAAATTGAATTTGAGTAGATCTTATTTGCAGAGCGTTTTTAAGTATTACCTATTCTGTTTCTAGAAAATCGAATGTACTGAATCTATTAGCTGCAATGTCTTAAACAAAGTAAGAAACAGCTCGACTAAAAAGACGTGCCAGTTCCAAACTTCTTACTAGTCTACCAAAAAACTCACCTGCACATTTCCATCGTTGGACACCAAGTCCCTATATATGAAAATATGGAAAATTCAAGAGAAAAGAAACAAAAAAGAACAACGGCGTGAGAATAAAAATGTCGGGGTAGACTAGTTTCCGCCATTTTATTTGCGCAACTCGCCATAACTTTCTTCTAAGTGGACCAATCTTTATAATTTTGGTTTCATATTGTATATCTTAATGAGTGTAACAAAATGACCACCAAAATCATAAAGATTGACGGACTTAGAAAAAAGTTATGGCGAGTTGCGCAAAAAATTTGGCGCAAAGTAACCTATCCAAAAATGTCATTGCCAGCCCCTAATTTACATTAAATTTTGCTATTCAGCTTGAACTTGAAAAGTATTATAATTAATTTTACATTTCATTTCATTTTTCGTTTCGCTCCGATGAATTTCTACTTCCTCTTATTTTCCTTTTTATTTTTCCAACATTCGAGGTTTTTGCTCTAGTTATTGTCCATGGTATACGTTTTTTTTAGTGGTTTTCAATGGAAAGTCTTGCCAAATCAACTGCTTTTTACCGATGATCATTGCCATCCTTTGCTGCAGCATCTGATTTCCAAAGAGCAACGCGAGATTCGTGAATTAACCAGGTATAATTTGCTAAAATTTACTTTTCAAGTTGCTTACTTGGGTAGCTATTTAACTGATCGTAAAGCTTAGTGTTTCTGCCGAGATAAAGACTTTTGTTTAGCTTTCAAGTGTTGCACAATGATGCATTGGCGTTACTTACGCCACCATTTGGCGAGCGACCTCTTGCAGTAAATTGTACAAATGGAACACACTTTGACATCAGGAAAGGAAAAATTGGTTTGTTATTCTTTATGCGTTTGATAATTTAAAAAATTCTAGTTCTTAACTGAAGCTTTTAAAAGGATACTAGCTTAGGCTCAACAATATTCACTTTTGTGTATTTTAGTGGTGCTAAAATGTAATCGATCGTTTTGCTCGGAGAGAGGCGAGTGCGTGACTGTAAATGAGGGTACTTACAGCCAAATGGTATCGCCTTTTTCATTTTTGTAACAATTCCTGTAAAAGGGACAATTTTTTAATATCTAATAACTTTAACTTTTAGTACGAGTGTTTCTGCGATAGCTGGTATTACGGGAAAACATGTGAAGAAAGTCAGTGAAATTTTTGTTTTATAGTTCAATCATTTGGTGGTTCTCATACTTTTTAACTTTATCAAGTACTTTTCAGAGTATCCAAACGATTGGTGGATCACGGCGATTGGATGGTTTTTGTGGATCTTTTTGTTGATTGCTCTACCCTGCAGCGCCATATTCAAACCGCGAAAGGACAAAGAATAAAAGGCGTTTTTTGTATGTTTTTCAGAACAAAATACTATTGAAATAAAATCTTCATTTACTTGGCAATAAAAAAGAACCCGTGTTTTTCGTGGCAAATTCTAGACGGCGAATGGCAAACTGAGGCGAATTTTGTGAAAAATAAACAGAAACTATTCAAAATGAAAAGAACATGGAGATCAAAACGGTCAATTTTGTTGAAATATCTAACACTTTTCAACTTCTCGATTTCTCTGTTGAATCGCTTCGCGTTTTGGCCTTCTCGGGAGCGACTTTTTAAGCATTGGATCAACAGGAAACACAGCGTAGCCCTGGAATAGATCTCTTTTTTTAGTAAAACGAATATGTTTTAGAGCATATTGTAACATCTACTTGCCTTATTTTTTGTTTTTCGATAAGCGTTCAACCCCGAAGGACTCGATGCGGCGGGGATTTGTTTGATTGGAATCACTCTTTCATTCGGAGCATTCGCTCCGAGTGTCAAATTGGCTCTTGAAGTTTTTGGGGATAGTGTGGGGATTCTTGATTGTTGTAGAATCCTCGGTGTCGTTATTGGAGAATTTGCAGCTTCGAATCCTGAAAATAAACCTTGAACAAAAAAAAAGTGAGTGGGTATTTCTGAGTTAAAAAGTTTTGGGATCATGTACTCACCACTGACAAGTCGCTTCACTTGTCCTTCTCCATCAATCAGTGCATCATTTTTCGATTTTTCTTGATTTTCCCCATTTTCCGCCTTTTCTTCATCACTTCCGTCAGACGATGTTGTCAATAATTCACCCGATTCTTCGGGGCTTTCATTCCCAGAATCCACCTAAATGGGGATTCTTTTAAAGAAAACCATTCTCTCAGCACTCACCGATTTTCCGGATCTCGGAGATTCTTGTTGATTTTGAATATTTTCATATATTGAATGTGACTGAGCTTCTCGTTTAGTTGACTGAAAAAAATTCTTTTCTCTGAAAGGGATTTGTTTTAATCTCTTTTAAACCTTGTCCTCTTCAATGTCTTCAACGATTCCCGGTAGTTGGGGAATGTGACGCTTCAAACGAATTCGCTCCTAAAAATAGTTAAGGGTTATTCTTTTTCAAGGTGATAGTTTCTTTTTGTTTTATTTTCTCAAAAAAAAAAACCTTTGCCACATCGATCATTTTTCGGAGATCATAGAGAAATTGCTCAGCCATCGGTGGTGGATTGATCATGTGATTTGGCTCGAAAAAGTCTACAAATGAAAAGTTGAGAAATAGTTTTCTTTGCAAAAACCTGTTGAAAAGTAAAGTTTTCTCTTCTGGGTGGGCACCGATTGCATTTGTTGTGGATTGGAGAGAGGGGAGAATTCTGTAAATTTGTAGAAATTGAATGGATTGACTGGGTTTCTTTCAACAGAATCTTTTTCTAGAAGTTGGCACAACGAACAAAGGAAGTATTCCTTTGTGTTTGCATGAAAAGAGCTAATTCATCTGAAGTATTTCAGAATGGATGCCAAAATGCCAAGAGAACAAGACGAGAATGGATGCCAAGAGTTCAGAATGGATGCCAAGAGAACAAGATTAGCTACTTTTTCTTTAACTCACCAGAATGTGTTAGGACACCGGATGGATGAGAGGATTGACCGCCAAATGATTGCTGTTGTTGTTGCATGGCTGCCATTGCTGCTGTCTAAAGAGTTCTCAAAAATAAGTTTGATTACCCCAGACAATCAATCCATTTTCTTTTCCCCTACTTATTTTTTTGCTCACTTTGATCGCCTTCGTGTTGTTGGCGAAAGAAAAATCGTTTTTTTTTTCTCAATTGTTTTCTATTTTGTGCGAAGTTTTGTACAATATTATCAAGAGATTAAAGAAATCAATATCAATATCAATATCAATCAATATCAATATCAATCAATATCAATATCAATCAATATCAATCAATAAATCAATATACCTCAACAATATCGTGTTGTTGTCGAAAATGAACGAGAAATTGCATTTGAATCTCATGAACCAATCGCTCTTTTTTCATCCGCCAACACACATTCCACGCGACCACCGAGCCCACAATACTGAAAGATTTTTGTTGCCTGGATTATGGTAACTAAAAAAAATACCTGAGCATTAAAAGTATGCAAAGAATAATGATAATTGTGAGATTTGATCGATAGGTTGAGCCTGTGACAAGAGCTGTCCCTGATTTGATCTCTGCAACATGATTACTGCTCAATTTTTTTTGCTTCTTTATTACCCATTCTTCCGGCGATTCTAAACGGAATACACATTTCTTGCATTTTTCCATTTATTGAGCATTCAATTTGGATTTGAATGGCCGATCCCTCGATGAGACGATTCTCCCCATCATTGCCTGTCCACTAAACAATGCGAAATGATTGTCGAATAGTGTCTAATATTGATATCACTTTCTCTCAATCGGAGATATCATTTTTGGTGATGATGACCCCATTTGTTGACAATTAACTCTCGTTGGGATGGAATGGAAAAGAAGAAAGGATTAGGAATCAAGGAAGGAAGAAGGGGGAATGGAATGGAATGGAATGGAGAAAAGGGGGTAGATTTGAATACCGTAAATATTCTAATAGAAGCACCCGTCTAAGTTTACTCTCAAAGAAACGCTCATCTCTCGATACCAGTACGTTTATTTCTGCGCGCTTTGGTATCAAATTAAAGTAGAGAGAATGGGTGATTTTTTGAGATATAACACATCTTTTTAGCATTAACTAGTGCTTAGAAAAAAATTATTGAAAAATGATGAAAACTCGGCTTTTTTTGCCACTTTTATAAAATTAGAGACAAGATTACGGTAGTTTCTAGACTGTCGGGATTACGGTAGGCTTCGAAAGTTGACGAGAAATTTATTTGAAAGGGGTCAAAGGGCTGGAAAATTTTAACTAAAAAAGAGCTCACTTTAATGAAAGTATTGTTGTTGATTGTGATAAGCGTGAACATATTTGATGATAGCGATTTCCATGAATTTTCAATTGTATCAGAAAATATTCGTCTTATCGTACAATTCCCGGCCTCATTTGATTTCAAATCTAAAGTTCTCTCTAAAACATTTGTTTGGATTAGTTTTTAAAGTAATCTTAAAAAATAAATCTTTAACTTTTTTGATTTCAACCGACCTTTGAAAAAAAATGGATTTCGTGGATTCAGCACACCTCCGTTGATCGGTAAACGGAAAGTTGGCGGAGATGTCGAGAGAATTTTTTGATCATTCTCGGCAGATGATTGTTTTCCATTCAATGAAGTGAAATAAATCTGATGAGGACATTTGGCTAAAATTAGATTCATCGTTGAATCAGTAACATTCTGAATTGAAGATGGGTTGTGTTTGAAAACCCTTTTGGCTTAAAACTAGCTTTAAATTCGGTTTAGTGGTTAGGTTGCCCAAAGTTACATTCAAAATCGCTCAATGAGTGATTTAGGCGCAAATTTAGGACTACAGTTAAAGCTTTGCACTCAATAATCTTTCACTAGAGTTGTCTCAAAGGCAAGCCAGACCAGGTTCAGCTGGCTCAGGCCTAGGTTTGCCTACATTTTTTTTTTCAAATTCTTTACCATTCATTTCTTTACTTTACTATGTGATTCATTCCACAATTGGCTCGATTCCAATCCCTTCTATCCAATCCCCTATCCAATCCCCTATCCAATCCCCTTCAACAGTCATCCCCCATTCTTTTTCCTTTCTTTTCTCATTTTCATTCATGGGAGATCGGATCGTTTAGCACCTGTGTGGGAAATGAATGACTGAAGGGGGAAAGGGGGAAACATTCCATCAAGGTCGTTTTGCTGTCATTTTTTGAGAAGGGGAATTTTCTAGAAATCCCAGCGGCAATTGAAATCGCTTTAGATTTCGTTTCGATATTGATACATTGGAGAAAACTCACCGAAATTCTCGACACAAACGCCATCCGTTGTGTGGAATATTGGAGCGTCTTCTGGGCAAATACACGCACATTTATTGCCCGTTAATCCGCCCAATTCAAAAGGTTTTGCTCGAAAAAGTTCCTGAAACATTGATTTCTACTCATTTTCTTTCTTTTTCTTGAATAAACCTTGCATTTCGATGGGCAAATCGATGGATGGATTATATCGGGAATGTCCGCAGTTCTCTCTAATGAAATCAAGGGTGGAGAGATTGAAATTGGATGGCATTCAAAGCTTTCAATCAATAATGAAAAGAAAGATAGAAAGAGAATCCAATAATTGTCTCCACCCTTATATTTTTTGATTGAATCAGAGCGTTGTTTAGCCATTTGGTAGCATGTTTTCTTGAAGGATCTGGAAAGATTTGAGATGAGTTGGGAGGAGTTGGGATGAGTTGAGGAAGTGATCAAGTGGGAAAATGGAAGGCTTGGAAAAGGAAATGGATCAGAAACAGAGAAAAGGGAAAGTTGAAGAGTTTTGGAAAGAAATTGATATCAAAAAAAATTGTCAACTTTGATTTGACTTGGTCAGCTCTCGTTTTGGAGGTCAGAAATTGTTCAAATAGGTGATGAGTGATCGAGCTTTGAATTTGAATTAAACCAAAAGTCGTTAGCTTTAGGATACGATAGTTTTCATTTACGATAGCTTTCAAAAAGTGATACACTTTAGGCAAAGAAAGGCAAAGAAAAGGATACATTCTAACTTAAAGTGTAATAATGAACAAAAAGAGAAAGAAATTCGATTTTGATTGTCAATTGAAGAATCTGATTGACTGTGAATGAGTGGAGAAGAAGAAGACTCTTCTTCCCCTTTTCTTCCTTTCTTTTCATCTTCTCATATCTATGAGACCGGTCTTTCTCTTCCCTCATCCGCCCTTTCCCTATTCCTTTCTTCTGAATGAGTTCCTGCTCAACCTCATCATCACCATCTCTTTTCAGCCCTCAATCAACAAAATCATTGTAGATTAAAGTATAATTTATTCGACACGATAATTTATTCGAAAATGAATTAAAACACAACGGAGAAAGTTTTTACCCTTTGTTACCCCTATTACCCAAATATTGTTAAGAAAAAACCCATAATGATGGGAAAAAGAACCAATTTTTCTGGCCGCCGGGATCGAACCGGGATCAAACCTTTGACTGGGATCGAACCGGGATCGAACCCTTGACCGGGATCGAACCGGGATCGAACCCTTGACCGGGATCGAACCAGGATCGAACCCTTGACCGGGATCGAACCAGGATCGAACCTTTGACCGACTAGGAGACAAGCCTCCTATCTGGTCGTCTACGACGGCTTATTGTTGGTTTGTTTAAAAAATCAAGTCACTAACTTTAGCAAAGCATTTTCAAGCTAAGCAGATACTCTCAAAAATTTGAGAACTTATCTGTGAATTTGACAAATATCAATTCTACACCCAACAGACGGTTCTTTTATCATATCAGAAGAAACCTAAGTTCCTTCTGATATAAACAAAAGAATATACAAGCTAAAATGTTTGAAATTGTTTGAGAAAAAGAAGATGAAACGTAAAAATATACTGAATTTAGAAGCTCGCGTCTAAAATCGAAGGAAACATTTCATTTAACGGCCAGGATATCGTTTCCGTAACAATATTCAATCATCAAAACTTCGGGTCAATGAAAAGTTAAGATTAAAGCAATATTTGTCCATGGATTGGCTTAAATCAAAAAGAATATCGGATTATGGACTCATTTAAGTGAGGGATTCTTTTGTGTGAATTTTCGAGTCGAAAAAAAGTCTCCCAATCTGCTTTTTGATAGATAACGATGAAAATAAATCACTTTTTTCTATCGTAAATGATTTCTTTCTTTTTGAGGTTGAGAAAACCCCAAAAAGGAGATCGAAAATGTTATCAATTTAAGGTGACAACTTGGGGGGAAATATTTTGAGCGACGTTGAGTTGAAAACTCTTTTTGGATTCCGGGATTTTTGTGCAGTGTACCAGAAGGCGCGCGCTTATGTGTAAAACGATGAAATTTTCATGTTTACGTAATCGTGCAGCTTCTGGCACACAGCTTTTTGATATAGGGGGTAGAAAGCAAACCGGTTCCGTTCTTTTTATCCATTTCATTTTAATTACCCAAGTTTTTGACTGGCTTGGTTCATACCGTAAATACTGTAATAGATACTAGTTAGATCTCTAGTTAGATTCGAGTTAGATTACTAGTTAGATCTCTAGTTAGATCTCTAGTTAGATCTCTAGTTAGATTACTACCGTAAATACTGTAATAGTACCCCACCCCCCTCGTACAGTCGCGTAGTCGCAAAAGTTTTTTAGTATTTCATTTGTTTCAAAGCGCCTGTACTTTCAAAAAATGCGTCTTTGGTATCAAAAAATAGCTGAAATTCAGGGCTATTTTTTGATACCTAAGCGCGCATTGTAGCATAAACCAGCGTCGAGAATAACTCGTTCAAAGCTAGACTACGCAACACTCCGCACCGTCATTATGGGGGTGGGGTACAATTACAGTATTTACGGTAAGTGAAAATTAACGACGGATTCGTATTTCGCAACCTCAAAAAGCCTGAAGGATAGATTTGTAATTTAGAAAAGAATTTGATGACGAATCGGGCGATAATCATTAGATAAGCTGAAAGTTTTTGAAATGCGAAATTAACAAAATTAAATTCGAGCAAAAATGCGGAGAAAAGGTGGCGGTGGATTATTATTGAGAAAAGAAAAGAATGGAAAACCGATTTGGGGAAAACAGAGGAATTCGAAAAGAGTTGAATGCATTTCTTTGGAAAGAAATCGATCTCGGGAAATTCGATGACAGAAATTTAGTTTTGCATTTATCGATTACAGCAAACATAAAAGAATGAGTCTCATAGTTATGGCTATTTCCACTCGACAGCGCTACGATTAGAAACTGTACTACTGATTTTATCAAATCATAAGCCGTTATTTTCTAAAGCTATATTGGAATTAACTTTTAAAACTCTTTCAAAAGAATATTAGAAACATTGACAGAATCAAGTACTTTATTATCTCCAATCTTCTTGCTTACAATTCGTTCTACTTTTAGATCATAGAATGCAAAACTAGAAGCTGAGCTGAATAACATTTCCGATAGGAAAAAGGGTTCAAAATGGACGGAAAAATGGGAAAGACGGGAAGGGATTGCCGCCAATTGCACCGTTTGAGAGTGAAGTCTCAGCGAGTCTCAGCCGGTGGGGGATCTCTCCTCTTCTCTAATCAAAAGAGAATCAAGGCTATCCTTCACCATTTCTTTCCCCTCCCCCTTTTCCTGTTTGATCCTTTCCCCTCCCCTTCCCCCAAATGAACAGTCCTTCTTCTTTTCTGTCACCATCTTCGTCCCCTTTCAACTCTCAAACGGAGATAGCGCAATGTGATAAATTGGAGCTCGATCTCCACACTCCAAACAATCCACCAAACCCTCTTTCTTTTCAGAGATTTCCATCTCTACATCAAAAAGGGGAAAGATCCGAATAAATAGTTTCAGAGAGAGACTATACACAACAAAACAGTCATGATTCACGGCTTGGCTTGACCTTTCGGTTCAACTAAACGGAAAGTGCTTTGCTAACGGAAAGCTAAGGTTTCATTTTAGTGAAAAAAATATATTCTGGTAACTCTGCGGAAACTGCGGAAAGACGCAAAATGGATTTTCGTTTCAAGAAGAAAAACTTTCAAGTCTAAATTGTGTTTGGTGAGATGGGGGGGATTTCAGTCCGGAACTCATAATAATGTCCACGTCGGGAATGGGGTATAACAATGCCCACAAATCGGTTTCCCTTTGCTTTAAAAAAAATAGCTGTTTAAAAATAGTCAAAGTGACGAATAGACTCACGCTAAACTACCGTATTAATTCACAAAACAAAAGATCTAAATTTGCATACACGGTGTGAAACCGCCGGAAAAGAGCCAAATTTGCATTTATCGGTCAAATCAAAGTAGATGGTTTGTGAGGAAAAAAATCATATCATCAACCTCACATTCTTCTCTCCACTCCAATCATTACAATGGGCTTCCTCTTGGTGTTCATCCTTCTCACCATCGTCGCTGCTCTCGTCTACGCCCACACGCAAGGACTTTTGCTACCAACCATTCAGGTAAACTTTTATTGTTTTGTTATTTATTTTGTTCATTTGAACATTTTTGATAGTTGGTTGATAGTTTTTTACGATAGTCATTTTTTAACGGTCTTAACTTTTCTTATTCAGCGAATCCAAGACGAGATCCAGAAGTGCGTTGGTGGAGCCGCCGGCACTCAGCCATTACAACCAGCCGGTCCCTCAAACAAACGGGAATAGGTAGAGTCTTTACAGCCTTTGTAAATTGCTAATGTTTCATTGTAATTGTTTCAATCACATTTTCTTCGTATTCAATTTCTTTCTTTTAGGCATCGATCGACGGTTTGACTGGCCTCTCTTCATCAGCTCATTTCTGCCCTCAGTCTCGACTCTTCATTCACACACAATGATTCGATCACCTAAACTGACTATTCGTTTATTGTCTCACTCAATTGAATAAACGTTAATAGAAATTGCATCATGAATTGAAAATAAAGTGTTTGCATGTAAAATTAAAATTTAGTCAGTCAACTTACAGTCTCTGTCGCACAAGTGTCGGAAATGTCAGGCCCCCAGAAAATGACGGACGCTTCGTACAAATGAAACTTTTGAACAAATTTATTGACACCACAAAAAAGCTGTAGTACCAGTAAATCATTCGACAACAATAACAATAAGGAAAACTCAACATAACAAAAACAATTTTGACTCTAATGACAATGACAGCCCTCTAATCTGAATTAAACGGCAAGAGTACCTTAGCGGAATCCGTGATCTTCAGATGTAAGCTTCCTTTTTAGTCGGTTTTCCTTTTGTTTTTGCTTCTTTTCTTTGCGCTCGAGATGTTTGTCCAGATTGCCCTCTTTCTGCAAAACTTCTCGCTTGCGTTCATCTTGTAGCCGGCGCACATCAGCTGAACATAATTTATGTTTATTTTGATTAAGTTGCAATCCATAGCCATAAGCTCATTTCAATTTCTACCGCGAGTTTTGAAGACTGGTGCATTTCCTTCTTTCATTCGTTTCATGTTCTCTTGCCTCAATTGGACGACCGTTTGTCGTTTCAAATCACGATCCCTAAAGAAGGTTAGATGGCATTTTTATTGAATCCAACTTCTTGGTTCGTTCTCGGTCTTGCATCCGTTTGAGAGTGTTTTTAATTTCTCGAACTCGTGCCTCGTCTCCATTAGTTTTTGCTTCTTTCAATTCATTTTTCAAGTTCTAAATTGTAATGCAAAAGTCAAAAATGGTAACGTACTGTTATTTCGGAAAGCTGAAGCTCGTGGATATGGGTATAATTTCGTTCGAAATGCGCTTGATTTAGTTCACCATAACGAGAATCAAATCTTGGGTCAATGCTAAAATAGACTAATAGTGACCACAAAATAATTTGTTTACCTTATACGTTCGGTCTTTTTCTCATTGGCATAAATATCACGGAATTTCGAAACTGGTTTCTTTGACGAGATTTCCCTTGGCCTTTTCGAGTTGACTCTCTACAAAATTAAAAATATTTGAAGCTGTAACGATACTGAACAAACCTTGAATTGTGTCGTTTTCCTCTGTGTCGGAACTTCCTGATCTTCTTTAACTCCCGTTTTCTGCTTTTCTTCAACGCCAAAGAAAGCTTTATTGAAAAGCTTGATGCCAAGTTTATTTTTGAGCTCTTTGACTTTGCTTAGAGGCATATTTGCAACATCTAAATAAATTTTTAACAAAAAAAGATAATTTTACAACCTTCTCTGAACTGAGCCGATACTATTTCGTCTTGATCCTCTTGTTCTTCTTGATCTTCTCGTTTGTCTTGATCGACCTCCTCATCTTCCTCACTTTCATCTTCAGCAAAACGTTCCTCTCGTCGCCTCCTCACTTTCTTTTCAACATATCCATAGTTTTGGAAATCATTGACACATGGCTCAGAGAATTTTGGTATATCCTTCCGCAAAGCACCTTGACGAGACTAAATGCAATTGATTTCATAATGTCATACGATCTTAAAAATTTGTAAAGTTAATGATTCTGCAAATCCTTATATTTCGTGGGTACGTTATGAGCCCAAGCAGGAAGGCAATAAAATAGAATTAATTACCTTTTTGAAGTCCTTTGAAATTCCGGTCGTCTTTTTAGGAAAAGTCCGAACTTTTCTGGACACATGATCGTCGAATCCTTGCATTTCCACACTTCCTAAAACCTTGAACCTTCCTCTTCATTTTTTCTGAATTAATCGAAAATACTCTGGCATATCAAAAATATTTGTAATAAAATGATACTACGTAAACATACATTTATTCAAAAGGGGAATACATAAACGAAATTTCTCAACAAATCCAAGTCTATTAAGAATAATATGTTTGAAATACATGGTTATAGGTTTCCTGTTCGGCTTCTGTCATTTGCTCAATCATATCGGGAGTCACTTGGTCGAAGGCATACTAAAGAGTATTAAAATTACTAGTGTGACAAACTTATAATCACCTTTACTCCTTGAACTGTGACTTCAGGCGTCTCTTCTTCCTCCTCCGATTCTTGTTCTTCTGCTTGCTCTGGTAGTGCTTCCTGAATCAAAAGTATAGAAATATTTTTTATTTTATGAATCTGAGAAATAAAAAGAGCACGAACTCCTTGGTCAGCGCTTTCTTCGTTTGTTTCTTCAGGCTCATTTGTTCCACTAAAATAAAGTTAAAATAAATTTCAAACACAAGTTCAAACCCTTCCAACTCGGCCAACATTGATAGATGAAGCGTAGTACTTTCTTGGCTAAAACAAAACAATGACTAGGTATGCTATAAACGAGTCCTCACTTATCGTTAAAGATTTCCACATTGTTTATCTCTTCTCCCATTGCAATCGGAGCCAGCCAAGCGGGCATTTCTTTTTGTTTTTCTTCAACCCTATAGAAAAGTTTTTAGAGGTTTATGTGGTCAAACAAACTGATTGGTTCCAGCATTCAGATCAACAGTGATTTGCTCGCTAGTCATCATCTTTGCAAGATTGACAGCATCTTGCTAAAGGTACAGACTTATGAATGATTCAAGTAAGAAAGCAAACCTTGAATGCCACTCCACCCAAAGATGCACGCGTTGGTTGTGATGAAAAGTCGAGTTCCTGCTGTTGTTGTTGTAATTGCTGGACTAAATAGGAGAAATTGTGAAAAATAAACATTTAATGCACCTGCAGGATCATCAATATATTTATTGATGTCTGGCTCACAAAGATGAGGTGCTAATTGGATGCCAGCCAATTCACGAATAACGGTAAACATCGGCAGCATTTGCTCGTTAAAGCGAGCCAGTAAAGATCTAAAAAAGACAGTTCAATTACTCGCTTCGTCTAAACCGTGTCTCAGTTGTGGGCCCAGCACTTTCATCCAGATCAACCCTTCCATTACATCTCCAACATACCAAAGCTAAATCATCACTAAATGCTTAAAATGATACTATAAACCCACAGTCCGTCCTTTGATCATATAATCTGTCAATTTCAAGAGATTCATATTGCATAGTGCACTTCGAACATTTGTAGTGAGCTCTTTGTACGGTATCCTTTTCTCGGGCTTCCAATCGTTGTCTAAATAAACGTATAATTTATTTACAAAAAATTTTACCTCATGTGATCAATCTTGAAAGTAAGTACATTTCTTAAAGCACGATAGTTGATGAAGTAGAAAATCATGTTTACATTTCGATTGTTATCGTTTTTTTGAGTGATAAGGCGCTCTCGTATAATTTTGTCTCTCTTCAATTGAGCCAACCACTGAATATCATATTAATTTTCTTTAAAAGTTAAAATATTACCTCTCTCATTTGTTTATGCTCAAACTGAACTCGTTCACGAAGTTTTTCCTCTTTTATGCAAATCGCGCGCATAATGTAGTAAACGAGGAGAAACTGCTCTTGTGTATAGAAGTTTTTCACCATCAAGAGAAGTCTAAATTTTAAAAATGTAGAATCAAGCATTTCAATATCAAAATTACAGTTTGTCCAAAGCTGGGGGAATCTCCTTGACAACCTAAATGCTTACCAACATTAAATACGTATTTTCGCAAAAATAACTTACCGTTTCTTTCCCATCTTCAGCTGTAGATGATGTGGCCATCTAAATATGTATCAGTTTGTTATAACTTTTGAGAATAACTTCATGTAGGTACCGTATTCTCTCTAATAGTAGTGCATCCCGCCGAGCCGAGTTGATGACTATTTTACGGTTTCTAAGTTTTCGCAGAAGCTCAGCCCTCTAATTCCCCACAAGATCTCATCGTCAGCTACATTTTCCGACCCCACATCGATAGGTTCTGATAAGCGCTTTTCGGGATTTCGACCAATTTAGGCAGCGCTCGGGTGCACTACTATTAGAGAGTATTATGAAATCGTATTATGATACGATAGCAAGGTTTGAGTACCATAAACATCATGGAGCCCATTCTTGGAACATTTATTGAAAAAAAAGCTATAACAAAACATGCCCGTTTATGAGAATTGACATCAAATTATACTCCTAACCTAAATTTGTTCTAAATTCTACATTTAAATAACAAACCTACAAGTCATAAACATAAAAAATACGACTAAATTATCAACAAATTCAATTTACAAAGATTAACACAATCTCGCTACAATAAAATTAAGTTGCTGTTTGCTGTTGATCTTCCGTAAATGGTGGTGGGTCGTAGAAATCACAAATTGGTCCAACTGATGGATCTCTTCCCTAAATTAAATTAGGTATGTACATTGTCTAAACAAATTATCAGTCAAACCTGGAAGCGTCGATACAGTTCTTTGGCAACATCACCCGCTCCTCTTTCAAGCACGGCCGTTTTTAGTCGTTGTCCTGTTGTTGGCTCGTCACCTTCAAGTCGGAAAGTCTCATGAATGTCAAGAGCTAGCATCTAAAGCAACTTTGTTAGAAATAAAACTCTAAAATCACTACCTCTGACCATAATTTACGATAATACATCGACATGTAAGGTTGTCGAGCAAAAATCGGCATAAAAGAGCATGGCTGATAATCGTTACGGTGCATTCGCCATGGGAAATCTGAAATTTGTTGGTTAATAACATTAACCCTCTATAAAGCGTACAAAAACTCACATTCTTTGTGCATCTCCCGATACAAATCTAACCAAAACTTTTGCCTAAAAACAAATTGTCTATAGAAAATAGTTAAATCTTACTTTCGCTCTTCCATTTCAAACAAGGTCAAGTCGAAATCCGCCCAGAAAAGCGTTCGGTAGGTGTCGAAAAGCGTTCCACGACTCAATGCCAAAGATGCACACTCGGCTTGTTCATAGGACAAAGGAGCGCTACTTTTCTGAAAGGTACAAATTAACATAGGATTACCGAACAACAAACGTAATCTGGTGATGAGAGTGCTTGAAGTAGTCCAGGTTTTGTCACGAAGAATTGACAGAAAACAGGGAACATATCAGCAGCATCCCAGTCAGATGCGTAGAATGGGGCCCATGGAATTGAAATATCACGATATGGTGATCGTGAAACTAACAATTGCACAACTTTTCCCAACTAAAACACTTATGATTTAGCACGCATAAAAATTTCAACCTGAAAGAGAAAGTCCTGCAATTGTTCATAATGTAACAATGATGGAGCATCATGAACGGGTGGTACAACAGAACCAATCAAATAGACAATCTTGTCAAGGCCTCGTTCAGGTGCAGCCGCTAAAGTGATCGACACGTTTTTTTTAGTTTGTTTCAAGTCTTACTGCGTGCCAGAAGAGTGTTCCAACCGCTGTGCTTATTTTCTCTAGCATATGGATCGAGGTAAAGGCGGCCCAAATGAGTACCTAAAATTTGTATTATATTCGCATTTACTTGCAAATCACCATCTTTATTGTCTTTGACCGAAAATATTTTGGCGTCGGGATGTGCTCGCTCTAACCCACTATTCGTAATATCCTAAATTCAAAAGGTCAATGTTAAAGTTTGAAAAAAAAATTCACCGTAAACTCAATGTTGAATAGCTGATTAAGCAATGTAGTGGCATTGTTGAAAGTTGGCCAGAATGGGAAGTGATTCATCAAATTAAGAGTGTTAACGCTGTAAAAAAAATACAAGTACTTAAAAAATATGTAACCTACTCATAATGTGCCTCGGCTTCTTTAGGACAAACATAAAATAAGTCGTGAGGCTAAATTGTTTTTAAATAAAACTAATTTCCCCAATTATTCACCAAAAGATCACCAGACATAAAAAGTTTTTGTTGCGCGAAATCTCTCCAAGCCTCCATGCGATCCATGAAAACAGGGCGTATTCTTCTTTCAAGGCTAAAATTAAATTGTGAGTCAAACAAGACAAGTAGCACGTACGCTTGAATGAAGGATCGGACTGTATCAGGACTAGAAGCCATCTTATTCGCCAATCGGTGTTCGGATACTGAGGCATACCCGAGAGTTTTTGCCAGACCATCACTATAAGTTAGTTTTTTTTACAAAATGCAACACGAATTTTACTTGTTATGTCGCAATTCCTCAATGTTAATCGAATTGTTGTAGAAATCGTGTTCGAATGAGGCTTTGCTTATCCATTTCTCCCAAGCTCCTGCTCGTAACTAAAGTCAAGCTTGTACGGTAAAAACAAAACAAATTACTTGACGATCGCTGCAGTATTTTAAAAATGGCAAAAGTGACTTTGGTGCCATGTGACCTCTCCAAGGACCTGCTTCCCATTTTTGCCTAAATTTCTCACTCATGCAAAATTATTTATGATGAAAACTTACGAATTAATCGCCAAATTTTGCAAAACGTGTGAGGGAGCATCTTTTAAAACAGCTTTATCCGTTACCACAAAAGTGTTTTGATCATTTGTTGCCATAACGTTGGTGCTAAAATAATACGTAATTAGCAACAAAAAATAAACCAACATATATTTAGTCCGATATTCATCAATAAATCGACTCCAACTGCCCATCAGTTTCCTTGTCTTTTCGTCCTTTTTGTCATATCCACTTGCTTTCAACTACAAAACATTAAAATTTTTTCAAAATTAAAAATTCACCTCAAGAATGTACCATTCTAGAAGACGCAATTGCCATTCGTTTAGACCGTCTTTCTTTTCATAAAGTTCCTACAATATAATGTAATAGATTAAATCAAGGTTTAAAATTTACCTTGATAGCATCTTGAAAAGCAGCATTCGTCAGCTTTTCTGAGTTATCTCGAGCGCACATGACGGTAATCTAAATATTCTAGTTTGTAATGTTTGAAACTTTGCGAATCAATAATGCTTACATGATGTAGATCCGCATTCAACAACAATTTACTCGAATCCGGCCAGTCGGTGAGCATTTTTAGAAGCAACGTTTGAAAGGCATAGTTAACCTGTATTCAATAAGCATGTATCTCTAATCATGATTGATTTACCTCATATTCTTCCGTCAAAAGTGGATCCACAACATTCTCGAAAGTTTTTGCTTCTTCTTTCGCTAAATACAAATTCGAATAGCTTCCTTCGAGTCAACTTACTGTCTTCTAAATGTTCCAGATGTTCCACACACGTGGCTCCATATTCCATAAGCATTTTTACAGTACCTTCGTACCTAACTCATCAAAAAAAATAAAATTTCAAAATTTTAACGAACATATCTCTAGGGGTAGCTGTAGCCAAAGGAGGCCAATCTTCGTTTTTTGCTATATTCCTCATGAAGGAATTGTTTTCCACAGAGTCTTCTGGAATCACCGGAAATCTGTAATTGACAATTGTTAAATAAAGGATAAACGATCACCCACGCTACGTAATATCCAGTAACCCGATGTGGAGTCTCGTTGCCCATTTTGAAGATAATCCCTCGTCTTTGATTAACAAGACAGCTACTTTGACTGCATGTTGCCAATTTAGATTGAGTAAGAACGCTGGCCTAAAAAGGAAAATATTGCCAACATCGCACTTTCAACATACGAAAGTTCGTCTTGCATTTGGTAGATGTTTGAGGGCTCGCTTTTGTTTTCTTAGAATAAACATTACCTAAAACGCACATTTGTTTGGATTACTGCGCATCATTCAACTTTTTTTTCATTATGTGGTACAGTTACCAAAGTAGGCAAATCAAACACAGAATATAAAGTTTTATCAATATAAACTCAATTGTTAAACTCGGTTCAAACTTTAGAGAAAATAATTTAACAAACAATGAGATCCACATAATGAACAATCGATCGAAACCTTGTAGTCAAATTCTAAAATATTTAAAGCATCGATACACAAAAAATATGTTTTAACCAAGGCACACTTGATCAGTTAACATTATTTGTAAGAGGTAGATAGGGTCATCATGCTTCTTCCATTTCTTCTGTCTCAGTCTTTGTCTCCACAATCTGAAATCTCTTTTTAACACTCTGTTTAAGCTATCCAAATTCTACCTGATCACTTTTTTCCTCCGTCTTGAGCTTCTTTTCACTTGGAGCGTCATCATTCTGAACGCATGTTATCTAATCGCAGAAAATATTAAATACCTGACTAGTACTAGTGTCCATTCCATTCTCCGTGTTATCATCGCCAGCCTAAAATTATTCTTATGAAATTCAAATATAAAGATGCCGACCTGCTTTCGCTCAACTAATGTCTCCTTTTTACTCATGTCCAATGGTTTTTCTTCGACCTAAAGTCATCTACCATTAAAATCTTTGAAAAGTCTACTTACCGGTGCCTTTGTGGTTGGTTCCCAATTCTCGTCATCTAACTCATCCTGCAACAAATAAAAGAATTGTAATAGTTTAAAAGAAAATTACCACTTTTCCATAAAATCTTTGTTCAATCTTCGTTGTGTCCTCTTGACCAAGCGACCATTCTTCAATGCCAGTTATACGGTCACCTTCCGACGTGATCTAAAAAAGCATTCAGTTGTTTTTACTCAGGCAGAAAAGCCTAGAAAACATACCGTAGTCACAACATTAATGCATTTGTCAACAGCTCGGTAAAACTTTTCGGCCCGTCGATATAGTCGCGAAGGTTCTTCAAGAAGTTCACACAGTCTACAAAATAAATAAAATGTTACTACATACAGCAAGATTACCTCTGAAAAGTGAATGGAAAGCCTTCCATTTTGGCGGCCGTGTCAACGATGAGATCATGCAAAACTCGCAGTTCTCCCTAAAAAAGCGAAGAGTAAATAATTTTAATTTTCAAGTAAACCTTTTCGTCATCAAAATCAGCCTTGATTTTAGGCAGAATTTTCTTTGTTTGCGCCTCGCGTTTGACACCATCAGTTTCCCTAAAAAAGTTCTATTTACCTATGCAAATGAAAAAATATTATTACCGTTTTATTGGCTTCTTCTTCATTTTCCTCCTTTTCTTTTAGTTGCTGATTTTCTTGTTCGCAAAACGTGTGATCGACCCGAATCATTTCCCGTAAAACGTGCTAAATTATTGAATTTATATAATCATAAAACTCGTTAACCACAACAAAAGTTTAGATTCACCTTTAATTTCCAAAGAAAAGCTGGACGCACGGGTTCCCATTCCAAGCAAGGTTTTCCGTAAATAGTGACACAGTGAAAATACCTAAACTTTATTTTTGAAGAAAAAATATCTCAACTCTTACCGTTCAATATTTGGGTCCGGGTGATGCCGCGGTTCTAATTCAGCCACATCAACCAATTGTGACTAAAAGAATGATAAATCGTAAAATAGAAAAAACTCAAAAAAACCTCTTCAGGTTCCTTGAAATTTTCGAGGCTTGATCGAAGTAACTCGAGCACTCGTTGATCTACACCGGAGCGGCGTTTGGCCGAATCAAGAATCGCGTCTTGAAACATCTAAAAACGAATTTTTACTATTTTCTCCAATTTTTAGTATTTCTAATTCTCCTTTCTAATTAATTTTCACCAAGAAAAGAAAAGGTACACAAAAGTCTTGCCTCTATGTTATGAGGGAAAGACTGAGTTTTATAGCAACCCTAGGACTTTTGAAAATTCTTTTCCATGCACCTTTAGAGAAAGAGCGTTATTTGGAGCGTTGTGGAAAAATTTTGTATAATCGTCGGCGAAACGGCAAACTTGCATTCAATTTTCGTTAAATAGAAAAGGGGGATAAGAGGAGGATTACGGATTATGGATTGGCGTGTAAATTACAATAAAGCGTACGATTAGGCTAATGATCAGTGTCATGCGGGAACAAGGTTATCCAAAGCTTTTCCCGGATAATCTGTTTCCCTCATGATTGAAGTGTTAAAGGTGTGGTTTCAAAAAGCTACCATAATTTGGCATCTTCAAGAATCTAAGTCGTTCGAAGTACAGTAATTTCGTGTACCTGACGGTTGGATTACGGTAACTTTTTTGGGATGTTTTAGCCAACTTTAGCTCAAAGCAAGGAGCTTAAACGCGGCTAAATCTAGTTTTTGAAGCTCCGGGTTGTCCGGTCCGGTTCGAATTTTTACTTCCGCACATCTAGCTAATAAGGGTCTGTTGAAAATTATCACTAAAGTACCTCACGATCACTAGCCTTCCCCATATTGGAGTTACCTTTGACGGAACAATCTTCTGTGGTTCATCCCCAGATAATGAAATGGGATCTTTGTTATTGAGTCAAGTCAAAGGGGAATTGAATGAAATATCCGCTAACCTCGCGCACATTACACTTCTTCCGCCGACTTCCCTTCCACCAATTGGCACCACCCTCTCCTCTGTCTATTCTCCCCTCTTTCATTCTTTCCACAATCACTCCCATTGAATGCTTTTTCAAAAACTATTCTAATTTATTTCTACTGTTTCTAAATTTTAACAACAATGACGAAAGAGAATCATTTTGTCGAACTGATGAATCGGTGAGGACCTTAACACTATAAAACTACATTAAAGGAGGGGTATTAATCGCGGCCGGGTGACGATAAAATTTTTTTACGGCAACCACCTGTTTTTTTATTTTAATATCGCTGATTTTATTATAAAAAAGATTAAAAATCACCCGGCTAGAGTGATTTGATGGGTTTACAAATTTTTGGAGACACTGCAAGGCTTAGAGAAAAACAAGATCGTCACTCGTCAGACACCTCAGCTAAAAGGCACCTATTTGAGAAAACTAAAACCACAAGCGACCACAAATGGAAAAAAGATCTAATTGTGTCAATCAAAGCGTTGAAGACGTCCTACGGTGGAGGAGATCCAGTCACTTCTGGTGAAGATGCGCTGGAAATTGATAAGATAGGAAGCCGATTTGAGGAACTGCTGTACTTGAGCGAAGATGAAAGTGAGCAAGAGGAAGAATTATAGATTAACAATTTATTTTTATTGTTTTTGTGCTTTTTATTTTGCTTTTAAATTTATCTGCAATTAAAACTCAATCGATCTAGACTGTGCTGAGGTGTCTGATGAGTGACGATCTTGTTTTCCTCCAAGCCTTGCAGCATCTCCAAAAATTTGTAAACCCATCAAATCACTCTAGCCGGGTGATTTTTAATCTTTTTATAATAAAATCAGCGATATTAAAATAAAAAAACAGGTGGTTGCCGTAAAAAAAATTTTATCGTCACCCGGCCGCGATTAATACCCCCCTTTAACCTGTTTTCTTTGTGTTGAATAAAATGGATTACGGTAGAAAAAGTCAAAAAGTAATACTGAAATACTCAATTTATCTGGGATTTGTCTATTTTTCACTAAACTTGACCGATAACTTCAGATACGAGTCCGAAGAGGAGGAATTTATGCGAGAGCTCGAGCAAATTTCTCAATCAATTCAAGATGGAGAATCGAGAAATAGGTTTTAAAAGACAGAACTTTTACCGTAATATCGATTTTCTTAGAAATAATCAAACGATCGAACGAAACGATGAAAGTAATAGTGAAGTGCCGCAAGATCCGCAACCGATTCTCAGTTTTAAAGCCACAACAGTTCATTTGGATCCAGAAAATTTCAGGTGTTCTCTGCAGTTTGGTTGACGAAATCGGGACATTGCGGAAAGAGAATCGACGATTGAAGACAAGACTCACTTTGCCACCGCCACGAATGGTAACAAGACTTTGACGAGATCTTTAAGCAAACAACTAACTAAGAATTGAATGGCTTTTCAAGCTTTAGTTTTAATTTTCTGTGTAATTTTAGTGCTAACAAAAGAGAAAATTTGTGTGATCAACCTACAGTAACCTTACAGAATATGATCCAACGGATGTCAACTATTCTCGATTCTCGCGGAATCACTCTCCCCAAAATGAGACGCCAACCCGAAGTGAGAGTCGGCGCAAGAGAAAGACTCAGCACACCGCCGAGAAAGGTTTATCGGCAAGAAATAATCCTAATATTCATCAAAATAGGACCCATTGACTGCCTCTTCGATATCCACCGATTTCTCCTATGAAATCCCCTCAAATGGCCATCAAAATCACTTTGTATCAACAAAAATTCTGATTCAATATAACAATTTTCTAGCGTAAACCGCCTTTGGTTCAACCCGAGATGACAGACAGCGATGTCGAGGATACAGCTTTTGATGAAGTCATTCGATTTTATCGGTTTAGTTAAAAAAAACCCGGCTTTCAGCCTTTATCATCAACATCGTCTCAACCGCGAAGATCGACGCTTCGACGAAGAGATTTATCCATTTCTGAATGTACATCTCCATCGAGTGCTTCGAGTAGAGATCCATCCGAAAATATGAGTCTGTTTTAGGTAGAGTTACAAAAATCTTTTTCTTTAGCTTCCTCTCGGTCATCGTTTTTCGAGTTTTTCGGGCTAAAGAAGAGAAAAGAAGTGATCAATTCAGGTAATAAAAGATCAGCTTCAAGCAAATCACTTGATTTGTCCTTATTGATAAGTTTTTACCGGTTTTGAGCTGTTTTTTGAACTACAGGGTGACCGCGAATTATCACGACACCTTTTTTTGGAAAAGTTGCTGGCAAATGCCTGACTTATTACCAAAGTCCCAAGTGTTATATAGAAAAATAAAGCCCTTCATTTATCTACAAAGAACTTCCCTATTTGAATTATACAACTCATTTTACAAGCTCTCGAATGGGCTCAAGTCGGTCTCTCTCCAGCGATCTGCCATTTTTAACAAAAAGTTTTTTCGATATTTATTTCGTAAGAAAATAACATTTAATATCAGCAATAGGAATAACAGCAAACTCTTTTGTCAAACTTTCATAGCCAAAATTGAGGTTGGTTTCTGGGTTCATTTGGAAAATCCGCAAAAAAGAGAGCTTTCAAAGCTTTCTGCTTTTTCGAATATCCATTTGACAAGAAGATCTTGCTGTATAAGCTTCTCTAGCGTTCTATTCTTGTTGAATGGGACTTTTAAAGTAAAATATTACAAGTTTGATTGAAGAAACCTCTTTCTAGATGAAATATTGTGTGTCAAAAAGCGTCAAAAATGGCAGATCGTCGGAGAGAGACCGACTTGAGCTCATTCGAGAGCTTGTAAAATGAGTTGTATAATTCAAATAGGGAAGTTCTTTGTAGATAAATGATACCAAAATGAAGGGCTTTATTTTTCTATATAACACTTGACACTTTGGTAATAAATCAGGCATTTGCCAGCAACTTTTCCAAAAGAGGTGTCACCATAATTCGTAGTGTCACCCTGTAGTTCAAAAAATAGCTCAAAACCGGTAAAAACTTATCAATAAGGACAAATCCAACTTTCGATACCAATAAGGAGTTTTTGCAAATTTAAACTTTAGTGAGTGACTTGTTGATGCCTCGTGTTGTGACTCGACGAAAAAGGAAAAGCAGTCGAGATAATGAAGGTTTGGAAAAAAAAAATTTAATCTTGCTAAATCTTGCTTTTCAGAAGTTGGAAGAGACGAAAGACAAAGGCAAAGAGTAAAGGTCGGAAATTGGGGAAATGATGATACGGTTCCAATACGGTACCTTGATTGATCTAATATGGTTCCCATACGGTTCCAATACGGTTCCAATACGGTTCCTATTTTGATCTAATACGGTTCCAATACGAAATCATCATATAACCCTTTTCTAGAATCGTCAATCGGCTCGTTTTGCAAACGAAGAAAGCGAAGAGGAAAATGCGACAATGAAAAATAATAATAGAAAGTATTGAAAGATATTCAACTGGATAAAAGAAAGCTTTAGATCCACATCTTTTCTCACAGCCGTTTACGAAAAAGATAAATTTGAGCAAGGTTGGGAAATGCTTTTTTTTTGAATAGTAATAGATTTTTCAGATGCAATGCTTCGCGTTGATCGAGAGACAAGATTGAGACATGAAAGGGACAATTTTGGAGCTGAAGTTCAAGAATTGAAGGTGGAAAGATGGAGATGAAACTGACAAGTCTCAAATTTGCATATAAAGAGAGTAAAATTCAGTTTTACGTGGGGTAAAACCCAACAAGATACAAGAAAATCTGATCTTGCAAATTTTTGTTTATGCAAAGGGGTAAAACCCAAAACCCAATATTGATTCACCTATAAGTACCAATTCTAGACAAGGAATGAACGATTGGTTGAGCAGTTGCGGGAGAAATCTTCTCTGTTTAGCCGCCTTCAAGCTGAATTGGGAGAAACTGAGCGAGAGGTGAGAATTTGAATCAAATACATGAATCAGAATTAGACTGGGATCCTCTCTGCTAATCCGTTTATCGAAAGATACAAAAATTAGATAGATTAGATCAAACTAAAGGCAAGATTACGGTAATATTTCAAAGCTGACACATTTTAAAAAGCGCATTATTTGTGATAAACACACTTTAATCAGAATCCAATCTTTTAGATTGAGAGCTACCGTAAAAAATGTCAATTCGATGAGAACATTGAAAGATTGAGTTTATCCGAACGATTCACACGTAATCATTCTCTTCATTTGTCAAAGGTAATCAACGCTTTAGAAACATATTGGGTTGGTGAATTGAAAACTGCCGGCTATTGTCGTATGTGACAGTTTGAGCGCTTTCTTCAAAAGTAACTCATTTTGGTGCCAATGGAAAAGTTGTAGAGAATCAAAAATCAAGCTTATATCCAAATTTTCAGAACGATTCAAAAACTGGTTTTGAAGAAATGCCAAATTTACGAATTCTCACAAAACTTGCATTTTAAGCGAAACTACTAAGTGTATCTTTTTGGAAATTTGGCTATAAGCCTAATTTTTGATTCTCTACAACTTTTCCATTGACACCAAAATGGGTTTCTTTTGAAGAAAGTGCTCAAACTGGGACATCTCCAGTCCTCCATTTTTGAGTCTCACACTGACTCGCTCTAAAATAAATAGCCTTGTTTGGGAACTTTTGGCGCATTCCCCATACAGCCCGGACCTTGCCCCTTCTCATTACTATTTATCCGGATCATGAGTAATGAGCTTGCGGGAGAACACGGGAGAACTTTGATTCGGAAGAAGCAGTCAAAAATTGGCTTTGAAAGTTTTTCGATTCAAAACCAAAATCCTACCACGAAAGAGGAATCCGCAAATTGCCAGTAAAATGGACAGAAGTCGTCAATAATAATGGAAATTATTTCGAATGAATTCATGGTTTTATGTTGAATAAATTTTAGTTCAAAGTCCGGCAGTTTTCAATTCACCAACCCAATAATATGTAATAAAGAAGAAATTCAGATTGAGGAACGTTTGCGGCAATTCGAGACAAAATTGCAGACGAGTCGAGCTGAGATTGCCGTGCAACACCAGGCTGTTCGTTTTTGTTTTTGATTTTGGATAGATGTCTTTGATATTGTCTCCATAAATTTCTAAACATATTTCTGATTTCAGTCTCATCGCCTTCAATCCACCGAACAATCATCATTTCGATCGATGGTCGAACAAGTCGAAAGGGTTCAGCGAGAGAATCTCCGCTTGACTCAAAAATGTTTACAAAGTGAAGTTTTTGAGTGATTTTATTTGTCCTATTTTTGACTGTAACCTTTTCGATTACGGTAGTTTTCTAAAATAGATGTCCTTTAGAAAGTTGTGAATTAGTTGTGAGTGACGCACGCACTATATTGTGCTTCAAAACATCTCCATTTTCAGATTGTCACATAGAAGAGCCAACTTTAAAGAGGAAAATCTCATTGTTACCTTCCTATGATGCACTTTATTCATTTTCGATGGGAATGGTTAGAAAGGTTTGATTAAAGGGATCTTCTCATCGATTTCTCCCTTCAGTTAAGCGAGCTTCGTTCCTCGATACATACAAAATCGTGTGAATTGAGTCGAGTCGAACTTGATCTTATGGCTGCACAAAGTTCACTTCTTCTCACACATACACAAGTTAGCAAAAGAAGCATTTTTGAGATGAAATCATCTTCAGATTGAGCGCCTTCGACTACAATTGAGTGTTTATGGAAGAAAGACGAAAAGAGCCGCCAGTTTTCATGGGGAAGATTTGCTTGAAAAAATGGTAATCAATTGCAATTCAATCAATCAATCAATGGCATTGTCAACTTCCTTTATCAACTGATAAATCCCTTATAGGCTAAAAAGGATCTCCACTTTTTACTTCCATTCAAATTACAAGGATCACGATTAGACAATTTGCGAAGACAAAACAGGAAACAGGTTGATAAAAAGATTTTGAACAGAAAAATTTGAACAGAAAGAACAGAGAAAGAAAGAAAGATCCAAACGTGATTACGTTTAGAATCACGGATCACCAAGTTTGGATAGTGAGAGAGCGCTGGAGCATGAGTTCTTGAAACTCTTTGGATATGCGCAATGTGAGTTCATGGTAGAAAGCTCAAGAGATAATTGGTAGCTATAGGTGTAACATTAAAAACATTGAAACGTGTCCCTGTACAATATTCATAGATGTATAGCTTTTAATAAAAGTCGAATAGAGCTCTCTTGGTGACTCCACTCACTTGCAGTTCCTTTTTTTCAGGCCTAGCTCAGTCTTGTGATCGTCCAAAAGAATGCGAACAAATAAATCCCCATTTTGATGCAATTAATCGAGATATTCAAGTAAGTGAAGACATTGATTCATAAAAATGAAAAGATTTAGACTCCATCAATTCGACAAAGACAACGACCGCATGGATTGGGAAATGGAAGAGATAAAGATAATCATCGACGGCCAATTAGGTGCAGAAAAGAAATGCAATTTGTAGAAAAAAAATATCGTATTTTATAGTACTTTGCCTAAAATACCCCTTTTATATCAAAATTTAGCCTAGTGGAACTCGAAGAAAGACGTCAAAAGATAATGGAAGAACAAAGGAGAAGCATTCTAGTGAAAGCTCCGGATAAAAAGTGCGAATAAGAAAGCTTTAAAATCAATTAGTTATTTAAAGAAATGAAAGAAATTCAGACAAGATAATGGTGTCGTTCAATCACTCCAAGATGTCGTCCAATCGCTTCAAAACTCAACACGAAACCAATCAAATGCTCATTTGAATGAAACTAGGTTTAAAGGTGAGGAAAACGAGTAATGTTTTGTATCCGAACAATAAGCATCAATAAAATTGTTTACAGATTCATTGTGTTTAGTACCCGATTCACCGATCATTGGCTACAATGGAGAGAATCGACGGGCACGATTGGAGAAGCAACGATCAATCGATGTTGAGGGTAAGTTTAAGCAAATTAAGCAAATTCAAAAAGTTTTTCATTTTATCAATAATGTCAAACGTCAATCATTCTTTTCATCTTTCAGTCCTTCGACACTCCGAACTTCGCCGTCAATTGTCCACAGAAAAGCCACCGTGTGAACCAGGACAAAGCCTTGATGTAAGAAATTTTGAGAATAACTTGAAAATCTAAAAATCTAAAAATCTATAATCTTTAAATTCAAATCTAGAATCAAATCAAATCAAATCGTACTTTATTTTAGCGAAAATACGAGCGTCGAATAGAAAGAGTGCCAAGTGATCGACTGGAATCACACAACAGAACAGAGATCCGACAAGAACCTCAACACAAAGAGACCATCGAACAAAATGAAGAGAAACGAAAAGATGACGGTGAGGAGTAGTTGAAAATGAAATTTCACTTAAAGTTTAGCCGCTAAAGGCTGTCGACTTCAGAGAAGCGCTCCCGTCAGTCGAATGAGGCCACCACATACAACTTTAGAACGGTGAGCAGTTAGAAGGTTTATGAGCATCTATTAGGTTGATAAGAGAGTTCGTAGAAAAAGTTTGCACGGTGATTTCTCAGAAACCAAGCCATGCATTCTTTCCAGTTTTTTTTTGATAAACTTGACTATATTTCAAAAAGGTTTTGACAAAAAAATAAGAGATTTCTTCAGCTAAAGTGACTTGATCACTTTTTGAGTGACCAGTCTTTTGACAAGTTTTAATGGGTTAATGGATAGGCAATTGGTCCCATTCAAAACCTAAAATCATGTACTTAAAATAGGGAAAATTTGTGATTAAGGCAAATTTAATCTAATGCTTAATTGCATTAGATTGCAATAATCGCAATCTGTTGCAATCAATTGCAACAATTGCAATCTGTTGCAACAATTGCAATCTGTTGCAATCAATTGCAATAATTGCAATTAATCTAATGCCTAATGCTAATGCTTAATTTAACTTTTCAGAATCACCCATTTTAGTAAACATTCAGTGCCACGAAGATAAATATCATTTACATTTAAATTTTCTTTAGTATTTTCTATGTAAAGATGAAGTAAAGGAATTGTCATCAGTTTAGAAACCCGACAGACATTGGAAATGTGAATGGAGGACAAGGTGGACAACACGGCGGATTTGCAGAGATCTCTCATCACAGAGATTCGGGGTATCGCGCCGTGAATCGAACAAAGATCCGACCACCAGAGGCAACGATTCATATCAAGGTGAGATTCACACTATGGATTTATGGTAGGAATACCGGCTGACAAACCCAGATGCTGACGTCGTAGCGCAGTCGGGAGCGCGCTTGTTTAGGACCCACCTACCCGGTGTCCACCCGGGTTCAACCCCCACCCACCCGTAGTGCTGTTCTTTTGGCTGTTCTAATTTTTTACTTTAAATGGCATATATTTTTAAGACTTTTAAAAATTTCATTTTTTTGGTTCAAAGACGGCTGAGAAAAAGTTCGTACAGACGACACTTTTATATATAGTAGATTTCAGTTCAAATCGTCATCCATCGCCCCCAATTCCTCCATTTTCACCGACATCACACACTCATCCAAATCAGAACCCCACCAGCTTACCATCTCCATCGCAGGTGATATAAAAAGTGGAGAAGTATTTTAGCGTTTAACAAATACTGTATTCTGTTTAGTATCCTAAAGTTCGAATCTATTAGCAATAATACTGTAATGTCAACGAGTTTTATACAAAACCGATTTTGCAGACAATCTCCCGTCTTCCAAAGCCTGAGAAACGAAGCTGGATCGAGCGGTTAAAGCATATCAAGAAATGATTCGTATTTGATATCTTTCATTCTTTGATTCCTATTCTTTGATTCTTTTTTTTCATCTTCAAATACATAGTTAGGAATGCTTGAAGATCAAAGATTGAAAGACAGATCCTTTCTTTTCCTTCGTTCTTTTCATTCATTCTTTTCATTCATTTCCCCATTCTATAATCTTTTTCTCATCTAACCGACAAATTCCTTTCTCTTTTCCATTTTTAGGTCGAATACCGTCCGTTTTCACCTCTAGAAAAACCGTATTTTCGATTCGTATTTCCAAATTCTTTGATGAAATTTTGTTTTTAAATGTTTCAAGAAATAAATTTGCTAGTTGAAAAACGAATCTCAATTTTCAATACAATTTCAGACAACAAATCCTTATTTGATGACAAATGAGAAAAGCTTGGCAAATCTCATTTTTATTCTTTTCTTTGCTCACTCTTTCGTCTGCTTGTGAGCTCAAATTGCAGGTAATGAAACGATTTCTTGATAATAGTATTGTTGAAATCGTTTTCTGGATAAAGTCTCGGTATGTGGGAAAAATCTTTGCTCAAATCGAGCTCCCGGATGGATCGTCGAAAATGTGAGGAATTCAAAGTTCAAAGAGCCAACGCATAGTTTCGCTAAATGTACCGTAATGCTAGAGAAACTTTTAGTTTGATTATTCTTAAGTTTCTTGAACTTTTAAATCTTCCTATATAATGAAATTTCTAAGCATTGACTATTTTAGTATGAGATTTCCGAGATTCGGCTCAACAAGGACGATTCCATTCTCGGCGCAAATCTGCGGTCTCTACATGACATCGATAAAAACATTCAAGTTTTGCATTCAGTTCAAAATTAAAATAAGAATAATTCCAGAAAAACTCCTCGAGGATTAGATGGAGTCGATCCGATAGGGGTAGTTCAGCACAATTTGGATGGTAAAGGGACATTGCGATACGAGGTATGAAAAAAAAGCTAAAGAGATTCAATTGGATTCATCTTGTTAGAGCCAAAATTTTCAAAATAACATAGTCGACACTTGGCCTCATTTATTGCTAGCTTGTTTCAAATGTTGTCGATCAGCATCAGAAAATTCCCTGTCTAGTATTACCAATTTTTTTTTATGAATAGCCATAATACTGAATGAGTCAACAAAGGTCAGAGTGTTTCGTTTTATGATTTGTGATCGTTTGTGGTAATTTGTGACCAGGAAAGAAGCCAAGTTTAGGTTTGTTTGAAGCTAACATAACAATGAATAGCCAAGCCAGTGTTTGAAGCTAACAACAAGTGCAGGATCTGATCTGGATCAGGACCAGGGTCAGAGCCAGATAAATCTAAAGTAAGCTAGGCCTAAACTTTTGGTCTTTTATGTATTACAAGTCTTCTGTTAGCTGAATATCTTTTGATTTTCAATATAAACTTAGCCTAATGACCTAGCTTTTGACTTTTCCCTGATAGAATGGAGTTTATAGAATGTCTATAGAATAAAATAGGAATGATTCTAGCCTAGTCTATCCTGAATTGGCTTGTTTTTTTGGTTTGAACTCTGTCTATGCCTTGTCCTAATTACCGTAATCCCTGGCTTTTCCTGTTAACTTTACTCATTTGAAATATGATTCTCTCCTCTTTGAAACTCTATTCCAATTCAATTCCCCCAAATTTCAGATTTCCACCGATGGCTCACCCCGTCTCATCGGAAGAGATCTTTCTGTTTGGTGTGCATTCGGGAAATGTCCTTTCGCTTGAAAACATTGTACATTGTGTACCTTGATTGTGTCTGTTAATAAAAGAGACAACTCATATTGAAAAGCTCAAAGAGATCAAATCGAGATCGAAATTATTAAAATGGCACACTTTTTGTTCATATTGTGTCCTATTTGTGACCAAAAAATGAAAGCGAGCATATAAATATTGATGACATTTTGGAGATTCAAAAATCCCTCGATAAGCCCACAGAAACAAACCGATCTGCTGTTTGAATGCTTTGAAATGGATTCGATTTTCCCTTTGATCCAATGAACTCTTTTTTTAGTTTACCGAATAAATAAAGTTTAGATAAAACAAATTGCAATTTTGTAGATGAATTTTCTAAAAGAAAACTACCTTTTGAACTCTTGTCTTGTCTTGTCTCTTGAAAAGAAAACTCTTGTCTCTACAATGGTTTACAGAGGATATCAAAAGGTACACGAATTGGATAAAAGATAGATTAGCTAGCTAGTCATCTAGTTCTTTTTATTCAATCTATTTACTTTTATATTTTTCGGTATTCTTTTGAACCTTTATAGAATCAGACCAATGGTAGATAACTTGGATAAAAGCTAAAGCCAGGTCAGTCCTTAGAGCCAATCCTTTTCCCGAAGTTACGGATCTAATTTGCCGACTTCCCTTGCCTACATTATTCTATCGACTAGAGGCTGTTCACCTTGGAGACATGCTGCGGATATGGGTACGATCCGGTACGAGATTCAAATTGGTTCCCTCGGTTTTTCAAGGACCTCGTTACAGTAGCATCGTTACAGTAGCTTTCGAAAATTGACACGTGTTAGAAACAATTCCCTAATATAAATCTATTTACATTCTCTTTCCCCCATTATACTTTTTGTCCCTTTAACAATCCCAAAAAGTTTATTTGCTGTATATTTGAATGTATTAACCTTTCCCCTTGTCATCAACACCTTTTCTGCCAAACAGAGATCTCTTTTTCCCTTTTCTGTTAGTGAAACTTGTTATCTAACAAGCAAAGTAACATCCTCTAATCCTTTTTCGAATTCCTTTCTCCTAAATATTGGCTTCGTTTCAAAAATCAACTGTGTTGCCTCGAAAGTTGACAACTATGCTAAGTTTTTGCAGCTTCTCCCTTGGCTCAAATTTTCATTATCAATTTAGATTTGAAAACAGTTCAATGTTTCGATTGTTGGTGACTTAAGCTGTGCTCTTTTTTCATAACCCTTGATGCCATGTCTATAACTTGTTATTGATAACTCTCTTCGCGATATCACCGTTCAATTCACATATGCCGATGGATCACAATCGCCAATGTATCCCAACTTTTTATTTGAAAATATTGTAGCTAACTACTAGATTGAGATTAATATCTACTTGTAAACTAAAAGCAGCACAAAGTTATGGCACAAAGTAATGACTTATTGATTACGGTAACCCACCCTATCCGAATCAGCGGAAATCAGTGGTGTTTCCGTCATGTAGTTGGAATGGTAATCATAAAACTACTGTAGATACAAAATAACTTGAAATCAACTTGAAAAATATAAAAGACTGCACATAAGAATCATCTCTACGGTCTTCTGTTCTAAGCTGAGCAGTTAGGGCGAGCTTTAGAGCGATATAAAACTCTGCAGGGGAAATTGTTGCAAGAATAATTGATTCCTTGGATGACGTACTAATTTAGGACGGCTTTTGTCGACACGGACACGCAATATTTCTCGATTAGCGGTTCACAAGTCTCTGGTCCAGGCGCAATCACTCTCACTGTTTATGATGGATCCGGGGCAAATATGCAAACATTCGTAATTTTCATCGAAATTTCTAAATAAGAATCTTTTAGCCATCGGGATCGACGAGTGCTCATTGGTTTGGTGATGGATCGGTCACTTACGTGGTTTGTCTAAAGAAGTTACAAAATTATTCTCAATTTTAAAGGTTGATCCAAATTTGAGGCCAATTCCATGGAGTCGAACTGATCTTTTGTGTTTCTTTGGTGAATGCGGTCAGTGATTTTTGATGATATAAAGAAAATAAAGAATTTAGGATTGTGGTGAAGAGATGGAGTCTTTCGAAATGTGAATATCTTTGAAAACTTTCTTCTTGAGCAATAAACAAGAAATATACAAGACTTCAAAAATGCATTACAATCCTCTTACAGTAATATCTCCCTAAATCTTCATACTACAGTTTATTGAAGAGACTTAAAAATATAATAATTCCTTGATTGTCTTGGTAGGATACTTTTAATCTAGCCGTCATAAAAATATAACATATTGGAACCATATTGGATGGAACCATATTGGAACCATATTGGAACCATATTGGAACCATATTGGAACCATATTGGAACCATATTGGAACCATATTGGAACCATATTGGAACCATATTGGAACCATATTGGAAACCATATTGGAACCATATTAAACTTTGGAACCATATTGGAACCATATTGGAAACCCATATTGAACCCTTTATATACATTTTTTTACATTTTTCAACAAAGTCGGCTTCCTTTCTGATCAAAGAGACATTTGAAATATCAGAAATTCCTTTGGCGTATGAAAATTTCTAGAAAAAACCCCTTGAAAAGCCCAAATTTTAACCTAAATAACTTTTTTTGGTTCCTCTTTTGTCATTCATTTGACATTTCCCTAAACGATCCTTTCCCAGGGAATCGTTAAGCGAAAAAGGTTTCCACGAACGAAAATTGATCCAATTAATGCGTAATCATTAGTCGTCAACTATAAGTTGAGAGAAGACCATCTATAATTGATGGTATTGAATCATCGGTTTGAATCATCGAAATATATATGCTGAATGTGAGAAAAATCTATTTTTATATATTCTATATATTTATTCATTGAGATCTAAGTGATATGTAAATTTTTAAACTTATATCTATTTTTGATCATGAAATAAAAGCTGATAAAAACGCTCAAGCCTTTTCTATCAGATATTGAAGATTGAAGAATGAAATGGATTACTGAAAAGTTAAAAAGTAACTGCAAATACAATACTACAAAGGACAATCGGTCAATTTGTGACTTCTTCTGTCACTTGGTATTAACTTAACAATTAAGTAAGCTTATCCAAATCAATAAATATTGATTTCCTGGTTTTCAGGCATCATCAATTTGGCAACAATTCTAACTTTGATCCGCTTTTCGATATGGTTGGAAAAATCTCTATTGGGGTGTATAAATTCACTCGTTCAAGGTCTCCTCCGAGATTTTCGAGAAAAGAAGGCGGGCACCATTCGTATCTGATCGAATTTCATGAAGACATCCTCCCCATCCTCTCCCATCCTTTCCCTCCCCGTCGACCTCATTTATTCGTTGGGTGAATGGGATTTTCTGGGTACTCCTGTGGTTTCTTTCCCCTCCTTTGACCCTCAATTGGTGAGTGAAGGACAACCCTCTCCTCCGCCCTTTGAGACTTCTTTGAGGTTGGTTGATTCCCTCATCCACCCCTTTCCTTTCTACCCCCTTCCTCCCTCCTTTTCATCTCTTTTTCTCTTCAAATCTCTTACTCATTTCCCCTTCCTTTTATGCATACGATGCACCATTGCCCTAAAAGATCTTTTGTGTGTTGGGGTGCAAAAAGGGTCGAATCCCCCTTCACTCCCAGAGGAGTATTTCTCTTTTGTGTCCAATGCTACATATGGTACACCTCTAAAGAGAAATCCCATGTCCATATTCGTTCCCTCTTTTCTTTGATTGTTTCCTATTGCTGGAACTTTACCCCCTGAAAGAAAGCTCTTTTGTAGCTGAAACTTCAACTCTGATTCCTGAGCTTAGGCTCTGACTCCTCGAAACAGCTGTCTCTGCTTTGTCTCTTGAGTCACTAAATAAAATTCAAGTATTGCAGCTAGACCCTCTGAATAGCTTTTTCACATAAAGACATGACTCAAGCCCCAAATAAGTCTTAACGATATTTATGTATCTTGACGAGCTGTTCAGGGAAAAATCATTGGGCAAGTAATTATTCAAACACGGCTGCCCAAGACTGTCAACGAGTAGAAAATGGAGACTCGGACTCTCTGTGTCTCACAGCTGTGCTTGTCAAGTTCAATGGTTGGTGGGCGGGGGTGTGGAAGACCAAGAAGAGGAACTGACTGTGAGGGTTCTCCCACTGAACCCCCTATTTGAGAGCCTCCCCCTCTTTCCTTTCTAAACCCTTACCCTACACAACCAACGCCTCCACAAATACGGCAGGTTCAAGCAAAAGCAGTTCGAAATAAGCTACAAACTAGGTAGAGACAGCAGGTGGCCCTTAGGGCTATCTTCTCCTTCCCTCTTTCTTCCTTCCCTCTCTCCTTCACTCTTCTCCTTCCCTCCTCCTCTCTTTGAATCTCTTCTACTCTCTTTGTCTTTTTCCTTTAGCCTTCCCATTCTTTGAGGAAAATTCTATATTAAGTTAAGAAAATCCAGGATATTAGGAGTCACTTTAGTTGATGACATTTCGAGCTGACCTTCAATTCTGCAATAGATTTGACTCCGAAATACGATAACTATCGTTATATCCAATAAAGGTACAATATTGAAAGCTGACACTTTTTGGAGTTAAACCTGTTACATTATGATCAAGCGATAAACCTGGGAATTTCAGATTTACTTTGAATTTTTTCTGCTTCCTTAGACCTGAATTTGAAATTCGAAGTCTTTTGATAGAGATCTCTTCTTCTCCACTATTTTCCACATTTCCGACGGAAAATGCGAGGAAAAAAAGCGAGAGAAATGCTTTGTGCGGTACCGCTGATTTTTTTATCAATGTGAACCAATCGAAAAAAATGTTGAGATGCTTTTGCTTTTTTAATCTCTCTCTTTATGTTATTGCCTTCGTCCTATCAATACGGCCAATCGTGGGAATTCTCCCGCTTTTTGTGGGGCAACACCGGGCGGCAACCTTTAGAAACGTCATTTACATATGCACACACCAATTTCGGCTGGGCATATCAAGGGATACAGGGAGTATTGAGGAGAGCGACTTTTTGTAGTATTGAATTCCTTCAATAAATCCTATCGACGGGGATTGAATCTGGGGTACGTGTTGAAACTGGAATCTTTTACCCTGTATGGGGAATCAAAGGGATATTGGTATTGGGATTGGTTGAGAGAGGGGATTTCTTCTCTTTGTAGCTGAAAGTCATGCATATTCAAGTACCCACCATCATCCATGATGTTTACTACTTGAAAGTAACACCTCAAACCATTTTTACTCATCTATATTTTACAGTACTTTTCCGTTAGATCCCTGGAATTTGTTGATAATCCCTCCAAATCTAGACTTTATCAACACCTCAAACCAGCTTTTGATAGAATGTTAACTTGGAGGAATGTAAAGGAACTGTACCCTTTTATTACTAATCAACAAAGTTTCGCTTTTCTAGCATTCTATTCACTTTGTTAGATGATTCTCCATTCTCTGCGCTACTCGCGACCAGAGGGATGAAGAATTCCTACCTTTTTATGAATCAGCAATGAAACGTGATTCTTTCTTTTGCCTTTTTACGAGACTTCTTCTCTAAATGAGGAAGAAGAAAAAGAAATACTTTTCGGACTTGATCATTTACAGACATTTACAGAACATTAAGCCGCTTAGTGCAAAAATACAAATCACAGACAAGCTGAATACTTAATTGAGTTTGGTGACTTTTCAGGGATTTGTCTTTATTTTTCACCTGTAATTTATTGGTTCTTCTATTCATTCTCTTCTGTTCATTTCTATTCTTATTCACTAAATGACACCACAATCCAAATCCACAAAAGTCTTCACAATTGCGCAAGCACTTTGTGCTTTTCGAAAAAACCAAATGTTGAATCAATCTATTTTTATTTCACACTTTTTGAAATCAACTCAACCACCTTCTTTCTGTGTATCTGTATCAACTTCAGCTTCTCTCCTGCTGTTTCTTCCTGTTGTAAGAGGTCAACCCTAGTCTGATTGTACCTCGATACGCGAAAAGAACAGCTAGATATTTGATCCAAAAATAGTGCTCTGTTGATTAAATCGAATTCGCACTTCTGCATCAACTTCAAGGAACTTATCGAGCTATCGATTTTCTCCATTTTTGTATATAAAACATGCAATGGGAATTCTAGTGGGAATTCTGAATTTTCATATCAATATTCTGTTGTTCACAATCATCGTTTTTTGATTTACGACTAAAACGATTCTGCAATTGGCTAATGGTTTTGGGATTTAGGGGTAGTGAAATCTATTTCGCGAAATCGGAAGAGTAAAATGTATCGGGCGATAACTCAGATAAACTCAAAGTGAGCTAACTTGACTGGTTTAGTAATTTTTTTCTTGAAGGTGTGCTTTCTTGCAAACCAGTCCAACAATAGTGACCTGGAGCCTCGCCGTGTCGCGTCAACAGCCGACTTGGAAGCTCTGTTCAGAACGGATGAAAGCAAAACAAAGGATGGAAGCTCCTCGATGCGTTCAAAGATTTGACACCTGCTCAAAGAGTCGGAATTTTACTATTTACCTTATAAGGGGGGTGTTAAGAGAATGGAATAAAAGCAGTTGAGAGCGAAATCAGCGTGGAAACAAACTTGGCTGAATGGGAAGCAAAAAGACACAAAATAGTGATCAATGATGCTGGAGCCAAGACCCTTCACTGTTTTGCTAATATGTTTGGTTTTTAAGAATTTGGAAAACAGTATTTTTAGATGCATAGTGATGCTTCAATGGAACTTGCCTCCCACGAAAATCTAATGTGCTATTGGGGTAAGCTTTGATTCTCATGTGGGCCTAAACAATATTGAATTTTTCAAAAGTCGTAAGGGGAAGGCTAGGATAAAGAACAAAAATACTTTTTACGGTCCTTTGTGATCGCCAAATAGAAGGTGTCTTTTTGTGACTCCAAAGGAATGTCCCTCCCTTATGAGAGCTCTGATGTGAATTGTCTATTTCATGAATTACAAAGATTTGGTGTGGACTTAACTAAATATGAATGGCCAGAAAGTGGCAGTGAATTAAGTGAGTTTTGGCTGGGAGTAAC